CTTTCACTGATCTAGGCATTATTGTTCCAACCACAGTCAGTCGGTGCTTCTACATGGTCCAGAGACTTCAAGCGTGAGTCGTCAAATGCGTTTATAGTAGCCTACTGCAGGCCCGTATCAACAGGAGTCTTCGTTAGCCCAATACTGAAGATCGGATAGCTGAACGGAATGGATAAGTGACAAGGATCTCTGTCAACCAATGTACCAAGGACCTATCAACCGAAAAATATGACGAAGAAAATGGAGTTGGATTGGACACACTCTGAGGACACCGTCGAGTAACATCACACAACAGGCCATCGCTCGAATGGAAAACGAATAGCAGTGGGGCGTGTCGGAGAGTGAAATGGAGGAGAGAGTGTGAAGAGGAGATGACACCTCATGAATAATCGTGGAGCCAAGTAAAGAACACTTGCTGACAACAGTATGAAATTAAGACGTGTTGTTGAAGCTCAATATTCTACTAGGAACTCGAAGAATTCATAATACAATTCCTATATTCTTCTTAAGTGTTTAGATATGGTAGAAATGCTACAGATATGTATCAAGGTAAATGTCATTGTCATTTACAGAAATCCTGAACAGTACAACGAATCACTAGACAGTAGTTTTGTCTTTTTCTGGAATCCATCACAGACACACAACATTCATCCTTCAACTGAGAGTATCTCCAGACTTCAGCATACGCATAAAGCATGTTCACCATTCAGACAGTGTTGTCCAGTATTCAGTAGTGCTTCAGTTGATGTCGAGACATGAAGAAAACCATTATGTAGTCAGTCATATCCCTGACTGTAACCACAGTGTCGCCTAGATTCTAGATAATCAGTTTACTTGCTTCGTCACTCCATAAATGGTTGACATAGGTTTGTATACTCAGGTGAATATGAGCATTCTCACTGGTGGTGATAGAAATGTCATTCTGATGTGTTACAGCAAGGATAACACGAAGGTGAGGGAGATCATAATATGCAGTGAACCCTATTTAGATGTTTATTATTTTATCTTCTTACATCAGAAAAAATCTTCAACTGAAAAGAATTACTGGCTTCACCTCTGAAGACTCTCGGATATCCGGAATTCGCGGGAGATTTATTACGATTATCACACAAACCGGAATGTACAGGCGTGAGCCCAAAAGCTGACAAAAGAAGGAGAGAAGTCAGGGTTCCAGGTGAACATACAGAAGGTGGAGATAATGAAGATAACCAACCAATGGCAAGAAAAACCATGACCAATCATCACCAACGGGAGGAATGCAAAAGAGGCTTCTTCCTTCACTTTCCTGGGATGCAACGTTTCAGTTACAGGCGGAACGGATGATAGTGTCAGAGCCAGAATCGTTCAGGCAAGGTACACCTTCCTCAATCAGAAATCAGTTTGAAATCTTCTGCACTCAGTATAAATCAAAACATTCAGATTTTCAACACGAAAGTCAGTCAGTTCTTCTTTATAGGTCAGGAACTTGGAGTGTAATGAAAAGCATTTCCAACAGGTTGCAGACTTTTATCAGCAGTTGCTCCCGCTCTATATTGAAGATCAAATGATTGGCCAGAATGGTCTGGCAACAAGAAACCGTTGAAACAAACCAACCGAGAACCTATCGCTCAACAAATATGTAGGAGAAAATAGAGATGGGTCAAAAACTCGCTGAGTAGACTATCGAATGATATCGCGTGTCAACCCCCAAGAGCGGAACCAGAATGGTTAAAGGCCTAGTGGGTCGTCCGAGGATGACATGAAGATCGTGCGAGGAGGGGATGAGAGACTATAGGCAGGCGTGGAACTAAAGAAAGAGGATAGTAGAAAATATAACAAAGTGGAGACGTGCTGTTGAAGCCTTGTGTTCCACTCGGAAACATAGGGAACAATAATAATAATAAGACACTCTGTAATACACTCTGAATTAGATTTCCATTATTTATTGCAATTGATTATCGAAAGTAGAAAGACCAGTCAGGAGGGGATACATCATTCAGCTACATAAAGAATTCCACCTACATGTCAGATATTTTTTAATGCTGAAGAAATATGATTCCTCATTTTGTATACTGCCAATGACTGATTGACGAAAAAATATACAAGTTAGCATAGAAGTATATCAGTTCAAAAGAAATGAAATCATATATAATCTAACAGTGGTGCTGAAACAGATTTTAACGCGATCAACTTACTGGCGAAAATATTCGACTTGATATGATTATGAGTGGCAATAATTTGTGCTCGAAACGTCATCAGTTAATATTACTGTACAAAACTGGGTGATTTATCAAAATAAAATCTTATCCATAATGGAGTTATACCCTACCACAGTGCCCAAGTTTTATACTTATATTCATGTGCAGCGTCTATATCTAATATCATATTATATGCTGTAGAAGTGACCAAAGTCTGCTCTAACACTTAGTGTGCTTACTGGCTTCTTTTTCACAGATTAATCAATAACTCCACACAACGGTCACAGACAGAAGCACGAATAAGAAATCATCATATTTTTAACATCCAGTGCTTTAAAAAAAGTGAAATTATTCGTAAATACATTCATACACGCATTCCGGTAGTGACAACCACAGTGAAATCAGCAGGAAAACGGCTCAGTAGATTCTGTTGAAGAGAACTCCATGGAATTATCAAGAAACTAGCTGCCACAACACAAGGATTGAAATAACTTAAGGTCCAACTCAAAAGTATGTTAAATAACTAGGATCATGTAATCATACAACAGACTGTAAACTTTCAACAGATACCTTCGCTCTAGGCTGAAGGTCAGATTGCAGAAAAGGATAATCAACAGGGAACACTGTGAACAAACTAAACAAGAACCTATCACACAACATGTATTCCGAAGGAAACTAATATGGGTCAAACACATACCGAGAAGACTGCTGAATGACACAGTGGGCCAGGCCTTCAAGTGAAAATCAAGCAGGAAAAGGCAAGTCGGTCGTCCGAGAAAGACATGGGAAACATTGTGTGACGAGATGACAGCTTATGGATAATTGTGAAGGCAGCAATAGAGGAATGTAGAGAACAAGAAGAAATTGAAAGGTGTTTTTGAAGCCGTATATTCTACTTTAAACCCAAGGAGATAACAACTACAATAATATCTAATAATGTGATACATGCTACTGACGAGATTGGTCAGTAGTATATAGGCGCAGATCGATAAGAAGCGGCCAAAATTGAAAACAACATTTTAAGTCAGTGGCTGTAGACACAGAATTTATTCCTCAAATTCGGATTTAGTTTAAATCGTAACCAGGATATAATACCACTGGAAAACTTCATCTTAAGGTCGGCAAATCGACAGCCGGTCAGAACGGTTTACTGTCCATTGACCTAGCCGACCTTTGGTATGGTTATAAATGTTTAAACATAGTGTGTTTTCCCTTGATACAAATATCCGCTACGAAGTATTTTGTTCTCCTTTACGATATTATGTAATTATACACAAATTATCCAAAAAGACAGGACCAGCTGCTTTCAACAAAACCAGAAGCAAACAAATTAATGGAAGGAAGATTTCCTGCTAAGAAGGGTGAAGTTACCAATGAAGCACCATCAGCCATCGACATAACAGTGTGACTGATGAATTTATCAACAAGAACATTAAGCTCTGGTGAAATAAAGTAGCTTGGAAAAGGATTATACTTCAATATAACCGTCTATAGATTAAAATCTAAAGCCGTTATTCCTAGCATAAATGTAGTATCCGTTAGTATACATTCACATCACAATATCTAGCCTCAGATCTTACGGTGAAGCCTGATTAATAAAGGTCAAAAGTTTTATGAATCAGCATCACTAGGTCGAGGAGTCAGTGGTAGAATGCTAGCCAAACATGAACGTCGTGCATGTGGGGTTCTATACCTAACCAATGCACTCCTAAATCGCCAGGGCCACAGTAAGCTCAGTGAAAAAGAAGGTTGAACGTGGGGCTAGCAACTTCACCCCGCAAAATGACAACATTACCGCTACTGAATCCTCACCATAGTGAGAGGGCGAAAGCGGATGCCCGGCGCTCTTCACCGGGTTGACTGTCCATTGGATGACAGTCTAGGGGAGATGGCTAAACCCTGATTCCAAACCTCCAACGACTGGCGTATGAAGCTCACTGGAGCTCACCGGCAGACGTATGGACAAAGGGCTTGTTGGATGTCCTGGATATCTGGCCCCATTCAAAAAGGCGTATGAACCGAACTCCGGTCACCGGCTGCCAATGGATAGTGGACTCCCTACTCCACTCCTACTGCCTTGTAGGTCACACTTGGTTGTGTAAAGGCTAAAGCTGCACTCTCAAACAAAAGGCCGAGCGATTCTGGGGACATCACTCGTACCAAATTCCCATGAAACTTCATGAACTCTCTTACAAACCCTGTCGCAAAACCTTGCATCAGATCGCCGCGCCTGGGCAGCGACGATTCGAGATGTTCATGAAGCCGGCTCATCCTCCCGTAGGAGATAGCCGAAGTAAAGTAAAAGTAAGTACTGAATCCTCAAGCCCTATTTTCTACTTGGGACGCAAAGGAATTAACCAGAATGATTAGTCGCTGGCTAATGGAGGTGAAACCCACAAGAGTAATCTGTACAATGTTTGCATCTCACTAGAAGGCAGCTTAGATGAAGTCATGCTGGTTTTCTTAAATAGCCTCTACGGATCAGTTACTTATTTTCTTTATATGAGGATTTATACTACTTACTACTAAAAAAATAGCACATGTTTATATTGCATTTATTATATTATTATCATGTGATGCTAATTTTTCATTTCCATAGGAAGATATGTCGTTTGATATTGTAATATTCTATTTCGTGCGGAGGACTTTACATCTTCTGAATAAAATGTACTTTTTGTGCATGTCTCTATAATTTTCTTCCATATCTCTCTCTAGCCATATATATATATATATATATATATATATATATATATTGAATTTTAGGCATGAATCAAACGTTTAATTTACACAATTGAAAACTCAATTTCTAAATCTCCAATTACGGTATAATTTATAGTTACATATAGGGGGAGGAGTAATTCGTTTAAAAAACTTCCATAACCCTTCGTCAACATGTACACACACAAAAATTGAACAATCATTTCCAATAAAACATTTGGGATGAAATCATTAATTAAAATATATCTATTTTAAGGAAATGCATTATAACCGATGTATATATATATATATATATATACAATCAAAATATGTGTTTGTGTGTGTGACAATAGAAACAATTATGGTATAATACTGTGGACGCTTCAGTGTCATATTCACTTAAAAAGGATAAGCAATACACATAGAACAGCATAGTAATAGAATAATAATTCGGAAGACGACAGAAGAAATCGTGTCACACATTAATTTGACGTCTGTGCGTATTTCACTACCGTATCCCACGAGCATACACCGAAGGTCGTTGACGTTTCTCTTCCATACGTTTCTTGTTATGATCAACTTGGAAACAATACCAAACTCGTAAAGTTTCATCAGCCCCACAACTGGCAACCATCTCGTTATTTGGTGATGATGTAATACATAAAACACGACTTTGATGTTCTGAAACATAGAAAAAGACAGAAACAAAACATTGAACAAACAAGCTTAGTATGAATAGTACACATTAGCTGCAGAGGAACACCCAACGTTAACACAACTAACACAAACACTAGATGAATTTCCAAGTGTTGGTTTGCGAGGATTCGATTGATTTCAAGACTGATCACGAACTGACTACAGTTAGGGAACTAGACAGTTGTTTCATCCTTGTTTGGGTCTCTTCAATACCCATGATCCTACTTCAGGATAGCAAGGTAGGCTGATTAACCATCCACCCACTGGATTTCGTTATGGTTCACCAATGAGTACCATTGAACAGTTCCAAAGAAGGACGACAAAGCTGTCCAGTACTAGCAGTTTATCAACAGTCCTCTATATGAAGTCAGTTTGTAATCAATCATGAATGAAAAAGTGAAACAGAAAATCTACCAAAGTTAATATATATGTATAACTACCAAGCTAGTAAATGTCTTATCATTGCTCATAGACTGTGAACAACAACAAAAACAAGATACCATCAACTTGTAGTAGAAACGTGTAATGTATTGGCTCAACACATTTCGGACATTATGATCACACACGTACTTGTCATACACAGCTTTCATAGAGGTCAAGAAGGCATGAATAATTACAATACAGGTCAGATTGTGTACAGGTCAAGGTCACAAATAATGGGTAGGGAGACTATTAAAAGAAGCTTCTGTAAGTTCTCATTGAAAGACACTTTTGAGTTAATTGAATCTTCGTTCACAAATGTACCTCTTTTACAGACAGTTGACATTTTATGTGATTACATCTCTGACAACGATTTCCTATTACCAGTATCCATATCTTACTTAGAAGAGTTACTACTTTTTGATTGAACTCTAGTCAGTAACTAGTGTAATGTGTCTAGTCCTATCTTCGGTGCAGACTGAATTCTATCAGTCATGTTTGCAATGTGGCCACCATGCTAGGTGGCTCGCCTACAGGTCAGTCGCGAGCCTGAATAGCTCAGTGGTAACGTCTCTGACTGCAGCACTGGGTGACATCAGTTCCTTCAAGGCTGCAGATACGCCTTGCTGGTGAGTGCCAACTAGCACGAAACCTAGGTCCAAGGCTTCCTGCCGATTGCCTCCAACCATCTAATACCAAGAGTTACTACTTCTCTGTAATAACAATGTTAAGTTTACATTCGAGAGCGAGCATTATTGCCAGATCGATGGTGTTGCCATGGGAAGCCCCCTAGGTCCATTGTTAGCTGATATATATATATATATCGCATGTCGAGAACCTAGTGGAGGAAGAAATCGGAGTTTATTCTTATAAAAGATATGTAGATGACACATTCATTTGTGATAAACCGACAGAAGCCATAGAAATCCTAAACCACATCAACAGAGTACAAAACAGTACATCGCTAACACACGTTAAAGAGAATAATGGTTGCCTGCCATTTTTAGATGTACTCATAACCCGCCGAGATGGGTCAATGAAACGATCTGTCTGCAGAAAGTCCACATGGACGGGAAAGTATCTAAATTATCATAGTTTCTGTCCACTACAGTATAAAAGGGCGTTGGTTAAGTGTTTGTTCAAGCGCATTCACCGTATATGTACTACCAATACAATTGAAGAAGAAAGACAAAACCTCACTGAGATATTGTTAGATAACAATTATCCGCTGAGATTTATTAGGCGTTACGGAAGTGTCAACCATTGAGATCTATCGGTCCAATCAGCTCCCAAAAAGGATGTTTACATATCCTTGCCGTTCAGAGGTGATCAATAAAGTCTGGTCACTAGACAAAGACTCAAGGCCACAATTACTGGAACTTATTATGCAGCTAAACTTATCTTCATAGAGAAAAAGAGAACTATGCTGTCCTGTAAACCCTCACATTATCCGAGCGATAGTTTCACATCCCACTGTGTTTATCAATTTACATGTATGTGTGAAGACACGTACATAGGGAGGACCCATCGGTCTCTGCAGGTTAGGGCTACAGAACACATTCCAAAGTGGCTGCAACAACAAATAAAATAGCCAAACACAACTGACCCCGGAAATAGATGTCCAACATCATCTACAGCGAAGCACATTATATAGACTGGTCATAAGGTTGATTTCAACAATGCCTTTAAGCCCATATATAAAACAAGGTTAGGTCACATACTTAAATTCGTTGAAGCCTTAGTCATAAAATGACTTAAACCTGTCTTATGTGTCCAAAAGTTATTTGTCATCACTTTAAACCTGCCTTAGTAATCCGATTTAGAAACAAGGACCAATGTACTTCATAATATTTTTCAACCCCTCCTTTGCCTTGTTTTTTCTCCTTTTATCTTTCTTACCCACACCTTTTGTGTCTCCCTACCCATTATTTGTGACTTTGACCTGTATACAATCTGACCTGTATTGTAGTTATTCATGCCTTCTTGACCTCTATGAAAGCTGTGTATGACAAATATGTGTGTGATCAGATTGTCCGAAATGTGTTGCGCAAATACATTACACGTTTTACATAAACTGCATCTTCTTATTGTGTTGTCGAAATTCACAAAGGGAACTAACTGCTTCAAATAATTTTAAGAGATAGATTTAGACTGTTAAGAAAATCGATCTTTTAACTTAGTAATATTAGGATATAGAGAGGCCTAAGAACGAAGTTTTGACAGGCTTTTAAACAAATCTAGAGTACATGTCTTGTTCTTCTGCTATTATAAACAAAATAAAAACTATGAATCCTAATAGAATTTGTAGTTTATTATTGTCTTCATTATGAAATTCGAAAAGAACGATTACAATTTCCTGGAAGATGTCATCTATATTCTACAAACAAACTTACCCTCTACAAGTGCGTACAAAATTTGTGAAGATATTAACGGGCAGACTGACTGACTGTATGCTGATGATTACTTGCTCGGGGAGTTAACAGCATAATGACAAAAATTGATTGCAAGACAGTAGCAATTCGTTTTATAAGTACGTACTCTATTACACTTTATTCATTTTCATATTTAAACTTGACGGTCAGTATTTAAGCTGTACTGTAATTTCTGTCGATTAACTAACATGTGTTGTGTCGTCTAAATTATTATAAACCTAATAAAATAGGATATCACTGATAACAGACGAAAGATATCTTTGAAATACGATGTAGACATTCGGTTAAACTTTTATCGCGAACCACAGCAGTCATGAGTAATATGTCCGGGGAAATAAACTAATTAATTATAATTACACTTCACTTGTTGTTTACACACACTGATAAGTTGCCTTTTTTCATTATGGTGATATTTCCAGGAAAATTACGGCCCACAATAAAATCAATGATTGGAACATGGAACTTCAAGCTTGGACTTTGAAGATTCAACAGCAGTGGTGTTGTTCTTTTACAAGGTAGGGTTGCTAGCCACATGCCCAACCTTCCCTCTTTACTGGGCTCGCTGCCACCTAAGCGACGCTTAGAAGTGCGTCGGTCGGAGATTGAACCTCGGATTCTACCACTGAACCCACCGACGCACCATAATCATATATTTACGGTCCTTTTCCCTGTGGATTCATTTCTATGTATCCAGAACTATGTTCTAGGTTGCTGACAATTGTGCTGAGTCAACACTGTTGCGCGTATGTTCGGGGTGATATTAATGAAAAATAGACTCTGCTATCAGTTTTTCTTACCATTTGGTGTGATCACGGTCAGTAAACTGGCTTAAAATATTATAAAAATCAAACAAATAACTTCTCACAATGTGTAGAAGAAATCAATGAAATATTATAATTATAATTTATGGTTCAAAATAATAGTAATATTAGCGGTAAACATAATAATAAAAGTTATCTTCCTAGATTAACTTCAGAAAGCCAAAATTCTATTACATTTATTAAAATAAATCTTACCTTTTAAATCGGTAATCTTGGTGATATCTGGATATTTCCATATAATTAATTGTTTAAGAGGATCACCATGACTAGTCAAAATTTCACGATATTCTGTATTCCATATTATACCAGATACCTATATAATCAAAAGGATAACAACAACACGAAATGAATGAAATGTTTAATTGATTATAAAACACAAAGAAATCTTAACACACATTGGGAAATTATGAGTAAGGATTATCAAATTATCAGATTTGTTTAAAACTGATTAAAACTTCTGAATGAACATTATGGAGGGTACAAGTGAACATTCGTTCCTGTCAAATGTAAGATGATGCTACAGAACTGGACTATATCGACTCGTAGCCTCCAGATGGAGAGATAGTGAAGTCGTAGAGTGTGTTGGGAAGTTGCATCAACCAGTGCCAGCGGATTCATCGCTGACGAAATCTCAGCATGCATACAGAAGGCTCGTTTGACATACGCCAACTGACGCCATCTCTGGCTTAGTAGACGTGATATCCGGCTGGCTGTCGACCAAAGGACGTGTGAACTGCTCAGCAGTCCGCTCCTTCCTCCTTCATGGTTGTGACTGACTGAGACATGGCCACTGAGAGTGGAAGACATGAAAAACTGGCTAGCTGTCTTTGATCATAGGTGCCTGCTTATCTATCTCCCGTGAGCAATATTGAGGTCGTGTTAGATAAGGAGGGGAAGTCAATCTATCAGGTTGTTAAGCTACGTCAGTTGGAATGGTTAGGACATGTGTTGCGCAAGCCTAGCCATCGCCTTTCTCAGCTGACGGGCAATGTTAGCTGACATAGGATTGATCAGGTTTTAAAAGAGCTAGAGGTGGTCAAACCAAAGCCAGGGATCAGTTCGTGAAGCCTTTGACAGTTAGTTTGAACCACGTAGGGAGTCTTCGAGATGCTAATAACCAACAACTGGAGGTTATTGGAGGCATGGTTGAAAATCGTCCTCAGTAGTATATATGCATATCCCATAACCATTAAACTCATATTTCGTCAAGTTACCTTTTTTTCTTCCCCACATTTCCACTTATTGTAGTCCTTTAGAGTCTCTTTTTCTCTTTCTTTTGTCTACCTTTGTATGCTACATAAAGTATGGCAACTCCAACTGCAGCACTTCTTTGCAAAGTTCTACGTTGAAAACAATCAATTAGTTGGAACCTTGGTGATCACAATACACTATACAACTCACATTTAAACTACTGAGAAATACTAGAAGTCTTCATAAGAATAATAAATGTAAGCTCTAAGTAGAAAAAGAGATTAGTTCAAGTCATGATATTAGACAGAGACGTTGCACAACAGAGAACAGCAATCAATGACTCTATTAACCGACACTAAAGCCTGCTTCTATCACTCTTAACTTTTAGTCCGACTGACATAATGTGCATATCAAACTGGAATAAAGCTCGACGTAGGATATTCATCAAAATCCCGCCTATATGGAGCCAGGTAGACTGGTCACTGGAGGCGTATCCTATCTAAAAACGTTCAAAAATACTATCTCACGTGGTTGTAGAAAGGTGGTAGTGAGTCAATAAGGAGAACGATAATCGAACACCTGATGGAAAACACTGATCATTCTATGTCAAAAGACGCCTCCTCCTAAGTAATCTACAAAATGAAGAACAACCTGCCAAAGGCACTGCTCTTTCGTCTTCTTTGTACTGCTAAACCCTTAACCATTCAGTAGGAAAATCCAGTATTATGCATACAAAAGAAAATCATTCAACCACTTCTACTATCATGGTAACAACCTTGTTGATTTTTATTTACTTGATTTTTCCTTGCTAGTATTTCTAACTCCTTACAACTCTTGTAGTTTTTAGATCGCCTACGTAATTCCATATTTTCCTTCGTTTCTACGTGCATCCTGATTACAACTCATTAATAAAATTATTCTTCTTATTACGGGACTCTAATACACTTATTCAACTTCTTTTATGCATTGACTAATATTAAAAATGATTAATGACAACTCCTCACTTCTATTAATACCCTCTTCCATGAAAAAATTGCATTTAAATATGATTGTGCTACAAACTAAAAAATGAATTCGCCGAAAATCGACTCTTCGTTGAACTACGTTTTACGTTTTTGTTGAAATCTGGATGGGGATTATTTATGAGCATTCACGTCTGTCACAGAAGAAGTTTAGCAAACTCGTCGACTGATTTGCTCTTTCTACCTTGGGATTGAGAATACTAAGTTACTGGCTGCAATCAAACAACTGTAATTCTTTTTCTCTACTCATAATAAAAATATGATTCATAAGACAGAGATTCAGTTGAACCATAATTTTTCAATATATATATATATATATATATATATATATATATAAACAAATAGGAAAGATTCGCTTTTAAAGAGAAATAAAGTAAAAGAATGTCATTTATTATTTATAGATTAGTTTTCAGAAAAGACTTCGGCTTTTAAAAGAGGAGGTTTGTGAGGAATGGACTGGTTCTAGTATCCTATTGATCACAGACTATCTCATGAGTTAGGTATTATTATTATTATTGTTTCCTTTAATTCCTAGAGGAACATAGGGCTTCAGCCGTGCGTCTCCATTGCGTTCCGTTCTCTGCTAGAGTCTTCACATGAATATGAAATAAGCATGTCACTTCAGCTTTTAGTTGTGTTCATGTAAACAATGACACAAGCTTAAGCATGGAGTCGAGAAAAAGAAAAGATAATTCTCTGATTTTTACTGCTATAAAACAGTGGAACAATCTAATCTTCACCTAGTGAAACGGTGATTAATGTTTCCCAATAACAACAACAACATTAAATATCTTACAACCAGATCAAGTACCACTGAGAGTTAGTTAAACTGATACAGGATTATTAGGAGTTTTAATCAGTTACGCAGTCCAATTTAAGTTGAGTCTGGTTTTTAGTCACGCTCCATTCGTCAAAACCAAATCGCTTAAACCAATCAGTCACACTTTTATGGGCTAAATATAACACCGTTTAAGGGGCTTTTAACTTTCAGAAAGTATTTTTTTAAACGCATTAAATCAAGTAAGAATAAATTTGACAGACAAAAACATACCTGGGCAATTACATCAACTGATTTTACACATGCACCAGTTGCTGTATTCCAGAATCGTAAAGTATGATCTGATGTCCCACCACCTGTACATAAAAGATTAGGTTTCCAAGGACACCATGCCAGTGCTTTAACTGCAGCTTGATGACCACTTAAAGCATGTACAGGCTTTGAATTGTCATTCGCAGACCAAATAGCTACATAATTATCATTAGCTCCTGATGCAAGGTAGTGTTTATCTGGAGACCAGGATAATCCACAAACTTCCTATTAAGTAATAAAATAAACATATGAAAAATAATTTAAGTAGGGACATAAAAAACCGTAAGAACAATAACAACAACAAGAAGTTAGGGAAATGCTACTTACGGTACTTAACAGCTAAAGTCAACTCATAATAAATCAATGCCTTTATGTACAAACGAGTGGCACGGATGAGGATGTAAAAGCTAACCAGGATCGAGAAGGTGAGACAGCAGATCCCCCACACCACTTAGAACAAGAAAACAGATGCGAATTTTCAACGCTAATGTCAAACCGTCAGTGCTTTTATATGTTTCACAGACTAGGTTCATCATCAAAAACATTTTCAACAGGTTATCGTGAACTTTCATCAATACCTAACTGCAATCCAAAATGAAGATCAAATGACTGGCCAAAAGGAAATTCAACAAGAAACTGTGGCGAACGTATTACCCAAAAAATATGAAGAAAGAAATGGAAGTAAACTGGACATATGTTGAGGAGACATTCAAGGGGAATTACACGCCAGGCTATCGAGTGGAACCCGAATCTGAAACGATGTATTGGACGTGGAACTAAAGGTGACATGTAAAAGAGAAAAGCTTATGGGCAATTATGGAGCCATTTGAAATTGATCGTAGAGAACCGAGCGGAATGAAGATGCGCCGCTGAAGCCTTATGTTTCACTGGGAACGTAAGCAATGAATGAAAAATAATAATGTGCAAACAAACTAAACCCTATCACAAAATAAAATAATTCTATTGTGAATGTCAAACATAAAAGACATATGTATATAAACTATATGAGGTTGTATGAAACAAGGTCTTAATGAACGGTTACAGATTCGGTTTTGTTTCATTCATCTGAGTTGCGAGTGGGACATTGAGCATCAGGCTTCAATTCCAAAGTTCCAGTAGCGGTGGTGTTTCTTTTTACTGGATGAGGTTTCCAGCCATACACTTAACCTTCTCTCTTTATCTGCCTTACTACCCGCTAAGCGAGGCTTATGAGTGCGTCGGCGGCGAATGAAACCCCAGGGAACGTGCATGTTTGGAGGACATTCTACTGGTAAACTACCAACGCATGAAAATCAGGTAGATGTTTAAAACAAGTGATGAATTAAACGAATACACAACCTCGATGACAGTAGCCAATGTGCTGCTTTTTTAAAAACAAAAACATGAGAACAAACAATGTTGTCTCCAGCTGAATCTTACTAAGGCTTTACTCTGATATACACAGCTCCAAGTATAAATTCAATTCTAACTAATGATTGTAATTTATGGTCGATATATAAATGAAAATCAGTGAACCAATGACACACATGAAAGTAGGAACAAAAACAGCGAACATACATAGTGACTATTGGAATTTCGGAGTGATGTAAAGTTTAAAGCACATAGATTGTATACAAAATAAGCAAAAAGCAGTCAGTATGTCTTGTAATTCTTTAACTCGAGATGTAAAAATACAACTTACCTGGGTATGAAAATCAGCAACACCAACTTCATGATGAGCAATACGTGTATCATGATGTCGAATATGTCCAGTTCTAGATGCACTGGACACTAAGTACTCACGCCACACAACTGCAGGAACACGACCACCTGAACTCGCACCTCCAAGACGCATTGTACGCATTAATGACTGGTTAGTAATGTCCCACAGTTGTACACGACCAGCACTAGAACCAATTGCTATGATATTGGGAGAGTCAGGAGACCACTTTAAACTGGAGATGTATTCATCTTCATAACCACTAGACATCAGACACGTAATATGACCCGTAATTGAGTTCCAAAGATAAACTTCTCGATTTAATGCTATCGCCAGTATATTATCCACCGACCAATCCAAAATGTTTAGATAGAAATCATCAATAATGTCTGGGGCGTCAAGAACTTTTTCTGGCATCTAAGAATTAGAATAATTTGGAAATGCCTTTCAGGTGTACTCTTACAATAATAAGCATATTAAAGTAGACCCAATTTTATAAAAACGAAGCAGTGTTATGGAAACCAACTAACTTGTATTATTACTACGCTGTATGTAGTCTGCCTGGCAGCATTTTGAACTCAGCACTATCTTCTACATAACTCTACATTTACTCCTTTGTTTTATATCATCCTAGAGTAATCCATAAAAACTACAAATACAATTTCATGAACACTCTAATACAAATTCAATCATGAATTGAAATCAACTAGAAAATTGTTGGAAACCAGGCAGGTATTAGTCATATGGTTCCGTCCCAATTTAGAGCTCTATATTAGCAGTACGTACAAAACATCCTAACAGTGATAGGACCCAGAGCCGATGAGGTACACGAAGTTGAGTTAGGACAGACATCCCCCGGTAACTTTGGTTGACGTTGGAGCTATACTGAGCCAATGGATTTAAACTCAATCGTGCCCGCCTCCCGATCAGAAGAACCTGACTTAGATTCTAGGTGTGGCCATCATGAGTACACAGTAGGACTAAACTGTTGTCAATCGCTCTATGGCTTCCAAAAATGCCCTGACTGATATCGATTCACAACAAAATCTACAATGAAATCAATCAAATCCCTACAAATACGATTTCATAACAATTCATTTATTACTGCATTACAACAAATTTAGATAGAAACGCTATCGGATGGCCGATTCATGTACATACCTACAGTTACAGAAACAATACTTACTGTAGTCGAGTAACGGCTCTACTATCCAAAGAAAATGAATTAAATCAAAAGTAAAATATGAAAGTCAACTAAATAATAAATTCATGAATTAAAAAAATTCAACAAAAACAGTTTTTGTTACTGAATGGAAACATTTTCAATAGTTAAATAATACAAAGCTAAGCGCATAAGCAGAGAGTAATGATTAACCAAGCAATCACATTACCACCGCATGGACATACAATAAACAATGACAGTCACAATTCATAATATGAAAATCCTCTATAAACAAGTGAACCAAAAGAAATAACTACTAAACTGCCTTACTGTTCATAGATACTTATAATGGAAATAATAAACCCAGTGGGTGTGAAAGCGGTACTGAAAACAAGTCATTTTAGTAACGAAAACTCTGTTTAAGAGAAATTAAGACTGAAGAACAACAAAACTAACAGGTATACTTTCATGAAACCGAAAATGATAGCCTGTGACACTATAACTTGAAGTCACTGCTTAACAATTTTACATGGCTATAAAGTACAAGATAATGGTTACCGCAGCTAGTGATATAACACAATGTTTTTCTTCAGTCAATAAGGAAACCTAGTCATCACACTGTTTAAATAAAACACAAAAAATATCCAGAACCGCCTGTCTTTTAAAGTCATGGGTAAGTTATCTACAAAAAAATCTCTTTATCTCAAATACCATAACTGGCGAAAATTGAATAAAGCACGAATCGATTAGCACTTATCCCAGTGTTAATAAACAAGGATTAAAATTGACTTTGCAGTATTATTAAACACCTTCAGGTCTCACTGAATAGTTTGAACTTTCCATCGATATTTTTATAATAGCATTTCAATCTTATACTACAGATGAGTCAATCACTGAAGAGAAAGAAGTTTACTGTCAAAAACATAGAAAACAATAAGAAAATAGGAATGGTTTGCAGTAAATAAGTGAAAATAACTGTTTTCTATGCCTTAAGGAAATTATCAGCTATTGGATAACTGTAGAGTCTAAAATTGTGAAAATACGATTTATCAGACATGCATCCAAATGCAAATAAACATGCACTTGTTACTCATAGCTTTCTTTTATCTATAAAACACCAGGTTTTCAAAAGAGTAAAATAAGTAGGGCAAGATTTAGAACATAACCTTAGATTAGTGATGTTGGATTGACAAGTGCTGTGTTAGAAAAGCGTCAGTCACATATGGCTGAGAATAACCTTAGTCAAGCCAAACACCCACTTTCGATGTAAAATGCTAGTTCAGTGGATATTAAGCTAAAAGAACTGGGTAGCTGGGGTAGAATATAGCACTCATCAATACAGTCACTAACTTGAATAAAGCCATTACTACTACGATGACCTGAGCCATGTATAAAAGTGTATGTTCTGTAATCAGACTACAACAACCGTACCGAAAACGTCTACGACAATCAGACCATCTGCCAATAGGACTTCAGTCAGACTGTGAATCATAAAAACAATCATAGGATGTCTACATTTTTCACAGGATTTGAAATACTGAAATTATTTTGCATCTTTATATTGAAACTAGAGACTCAGACAAAGTGAAGAGAGTTTACTAAAAAAACAGCAAATAGTCTTAACTGTCTTGTATGCGTGTCTCCGAAACACAACACATCCATGGCTCGAGATGCCAAAGTTCTTGCTAGTGATGTCTGTTGTCCTATTTGGTAGAGGGTTCTAAAGTTAGATGCTCCTATATGAAGTTGGCGCCGTGGCTTTGAGAGGCTATCTGGGGAGCTTTTCTGGCTCTCATCGTTATTTGGGGTCAGAGAATGAAATGAAGATTACTGACTAGCCTGCAGAATAGTACTGACAGTAGTAAGGAAGCAAGATGATGAGGGTGGTAGAAATAAAAAATGATGACAAAGGCTGTATAAGTAACGACAGTTGTTGGGGCTGGTGATGAAACAAACTGTGGTGTTTCTAACAAAATGAAAATTAATAATTAAATACAGGGAGCAAATCAGACGGATACCAATTTTGCAACTCACATTACTGTGTAGAGGTAGAAAAGAACAAGCACATTTGTAGATTACAAGTTTCCCTTCATTTGTAGAGCTATTCAAAAACATTTGAAAGGAGACTACTTAGGCATAATTAATTTGCCTAAGCACTAAACTACGAAACAAAACATCTTGTGTCTAAACCCAAACCCACCTATTTTGGTTTTGACAACTATGGAGTATTACAAGCCTTAACACAATAAACGTAGCTCAAAACCTGGTATATGGAAAATCTGCTCTGGATAACTGAGATAATCAGATCTAATAAGAGGAAAACCATGTGCCGCTTAAATAAATTTCAATGTGATCGTTTTATCAAACGGCTCCTTAATTCAGGAATTCAACTGATTATTCTACCAGCTTATCATTATACCTACAATTATTAACAGAACACAAGTAAGGAATGTTTGATTTAATACTTTATATCTATTAAAACCACTACTTTACAGCTTTTCGGTTACTTATTAAACTATTTTACACTAATGGGACGCTAAAAAGCAATGATTAATGTTATTTTTAACCTTTCGTAGCACAGGAGCACTTTCATTGAGGAGTATATCAGAGCCTATCAGGAAGAAAATCTACAAGTGTAACAAGCAAACTACAACAGTGGCACTTTAAGTAGACAGATAATTAACTTGTCAATACCATTACCTAACGAATAAAACTCTAGACAGTCTAGTCAAGGAAAACCAAAACAACATCCAAAACTAACATAGCGACTATCTTTTACGTTATCCAATTAAAAACCTACATCCTAGGATCACATGACTTTTCTCTTTCTCATTACATTTACAAGGGGTGTTGAAAATAATCTCACCTGAGGTATTGCCCGCTTATAGGATGCTTTTATGGATGGCTTGGTAGTTTCTGTAACACAATTTACACTAGCGCTGTCACGAACGGCTCCATTGTAGCGAAGAATCCTACTGCCAGGGATATCATTGGTATTTAGACTTTTTGCCACAGCTTTTTGATACTCTGCAGTTTCTTCGTCCACCGCATCTTCTTGCTTCCGTAACATATGTTGTGCTCGAATCATATTTGTTGATGACCTACTAGGCATATATCTGTCGTAATGTAAGAATAGAACAGCGTCATTACCTGTCACCATCACACTCGTGTAATGCGGTCATTGTTTTAATGGAGGAGCTTGGTGTTTTTCTACTAGAAGTGCTGGGATCATCTGAGGACAAACCACTTCTAGATAAGGTTCTTGTTGGTGTCTTGGAGCTACGAAATAATTATATAATTCAGGACTTACTTAGATCTGGTTCGGAGAGCACCAAGAGTTCCATTTACACTACCGTTTTGATTACTGTCCTGGAGGGCTTTAGCGAGGCTACCATCTCCGGAAGTGATGTCCAAGAAAGTACGAGAGAAGCACGAAAGAACCATCTATAGTCAAGTATGTGCTAAAAACATGTAAAAGAAAAGAAGCATATATATTTCAAACAATATGCCAGTGTAAGCGCAAAACAAATACTTCCCCCATCGACAAATGTCAAATAACAACAAATGCAGTAAAACGACACCGTGCAAGTTTATATACTAGATTATAAAACATACAATATTTGAATGATAGTAATACTAGCCAGTTGCATATGCTGATACCTTCAGAAGGCGATGGATTTGAGGTGCACTGAGTGAATGTTAACCCCTAACGACAATAAGTCAAACCTCTAAATAAAAACAGGAATTAGTACTTTCAAATTACACTAAAATGTTTTGAATACAAGCGATATGCTAACAGGGTATGCTTTAAAAGAAGCATCAAGTTCTCATGGTACATAAATCTTAGTAGTTTATTATATAAACCTAAGCACATTTGAGAACAAGGTCTATTGAATTTTATACTTCTCTCCCACTCTTATAAAAAGAGATCGCAATCAGTTTTGGAAGTCTGGATATTCTGTCTTATAACACCAGTAACCGCCATATTACTAATCTTTATTTAATGTTACAACTTAGTAACTCGAGGAACTGTGCACATTATGCATGCAGCAGAAAGTCTAATCAATACACTTACAAGCGGACAAAACCTGTGCTTTTGTATAACTTCACAAGAAAACACAAGACGGCATATACCAGAATTAATATTATATTAATACCGGTTACTAGACAAAAATATACCGCTGTGAGATGTCTTTTATTATCCCTCATAAACTGAGGTGTATTCCACTCTAAATTTGGGCAGAAAATAGTACATCCCACCAGTCCTCACAAAACTAGAGAAAAACACATTCTAAAGTTTAAGATTCAGTTAATATGAGGATATTGACTTTAACGAAGAAAAGTGTACACCGTAATTATGGAATTCGGCTGTTATCCATATAACCAAACCTTGATTTCCCTGAAACACAATAAGCGAATGATTTCATCACCATTACTACGATCTTTCAGCAGTAAACCTACCAGACCACTAGGCCCCTCAGATTTTCTACAGAAGATTTGAGATGCCGCAGTTACAGAAACCAAAAACGTTGACACAAGAAACTGGCAATACCCAAATGAGAAATCTACACAAACATACGACGGTGCATTGCGCACACCAATTCGACACAATGAGGTCATGACCCCTTTAAATCAAGTACTCAGCAATAACCGATGTGCTCCCGACACGCTCGCACCACCTATTGAGTTATCGGCAGCTAAGTTCAAAACAGCTACACAAAAATGTCTAGTACCTTAACAGATATGTGGTTATTCAATAACATCTTATGACGATAAAAAGGTTTGCAATTACGAAGCATGTAATAGTACGAAATGAAATACAAGAACGCTGGTATTTTATGGAACACTCCAAGTGGCTTCCTATTTTTAGCTCCACTAAGAAAAATATGTAATATTACTGACATGGTAGTCCTACATAAAACCTACTCAGTCCCATTTATCGGTCGGCATTTCGTATCTTACTTCCCTGGGCAAACAATTCCAAGAAAATGCCATAAATGAAGACACATGCCATTCAGTAACATCGGAGGGATAAGCTGCTGGACAGCACATTAGAAGAGGATTAAAATGGGGGGGGGCGATACATCGTAATAAAGAGTGGTTGCCTAGATCACACACAGATGCTAACAAGGTGGGACACATGAATGACCCAGAAGGAGCGAAAGATGCACTCAGGTGTCACATGGAAGAAACCAAAGGACACGATGAGTCAGAAGGCGGGGATAAAACAGCCGAGTACCATGTAACTCACACCAAAACGCAAAACGCTTCACAACCAACCACTATGAAACGCGCGCTAGATGTGACTAGTTCGTATAGGCATTTGAAGGTGAGTAAAAATAAACAAAAGTGTCTATGGTATCACGAAAACATACCTACTGATTTATCGAGCTTTTTAAATCATTCATTTCCCTAAAACACCTTAAAATACATTTTATGATGTCTTTATTATGTGTTTCGAAAGCTAGCTACGATTGTGTATGGATAGGAAACCGTATTTTGTTAAACTTTTTCACATAGGTCTTTTTGCACGATCCGACCTACTTCATTGGTATGTGTCGTTCTTGATATCAAACATTCTCACTACAGGTTGTCTGCTAGTTATTCGTAGCTCGATTTCATGGGTGAATGCGACGCTTCTGAAGACACTGAAATTCTGTCATGAATTATTATTATTCCCTTGAGTTCCTGGTGGAACATAGAGCTTCACCAATACATCTCCACTTTCTTCTATTTTCTGCTCTCCCCTTCATCTGGATCCACGATTGCCCATAATCTCACATCTCCTCCAACTCACGCGATCTCCTCCACGTCATCCTCGCACCGACGACCCACTCGTCACTTCCCACTGGGATTCCATTCGAATGATGGCCGGCGCGATGTCATTCGACAGTCTCCTCAATGTATGTCCGATCCATCTCCATTTTCTTTTACATATTTTTTGAACTGTCGGCCCTTGGCTGGTTTGTTTTCACAGTTCCCTGTTGCTTATTCTTTCTGAGCATGGCGCTAATGCAGCTGTTGACAAAAGTCTGCAAACTGTTGGAAATGCTTCTCGTGACACGCTGGCCGAGTTACTGACCCGTATAGAAGGACCAACTTGACATTGATGTTGAAAATCCGGATCTAATTCTATATGCTGGCTGAATGCAGTGCAAAATATTTCCAAACTGGTTTGAGGCTGATAAAGGTGTATCTTTCCTTTCCTAATCTGGCTGCCTTTGACATCTTCATCTGCTCTGGGTGCCTGTAGTTGAAACGATGCTACCTGGCCAGATAAGTGAAGAAGCAACCTCTGTTAAATCTCTCCCATTGGTGGTGACTGGTGCTGGTTGTTGTTGTTTTTGCTCTTCATCACTTCCGTCTTTCTGTGTTCCCTTGGAGTCCTGTCTTCGTTGTCTGTCAGCCTCTTCTGACAGTTTGTTGGTGTTCGCCTATAAGTCTTCCAGTTTGTGTGACAATAGATATATATATCATCTGCAAAATCCAGATCCTCTAGAGTCTTCTCATTGGTGGTCCAACGTAATCTGGTCTCTTCGCTCCCCAGACTGACGTATAATCCAGTCCACCATAATTAAGAGTATCATCGGTGATAATTGACAGCCCTGTCTTACTCTTGCCTTCACTTCGAATGCCTCGGTAACAGGTGGCATTTTCATGTGGCTGGTGAATAAGATTAATAAAGACGTGGGCACTGTGCGATGCAGCGTTGAAGTAGTTTCCAAACTACCTCTCAGTCAACGGTGCACTGTCGAAGGCCTTCGCAAAGTCGATGAAGTTGGTGTAGAGAGAGGTTCGACTGTTATTCTATGCTTTGTTCTGTGATGACGATGTGTAGAGTTGCGATCTGGTCAGCACACAATTTGCATTTCCTGTATCTAGCTTGTTCTGGTTGGTGGGGCGGAGTTTTGTATCCAGTGCATCCTTCATTCTCTCCAGGATGATGCGACTTAGTATTTTACTTGGCGACAGAATTATTGTACGCCAGCTCCTAAAGAGTGAGGCGTAAGTCGCTCCTCTTTGGCGGCTTCACGAGGTGGCGTTTCTTCCAGTCGGTGGGTACCTTTCCTTCTTTCCAAACTTTTTGCGATAATGGCGTGAGCACAACTGCTACAGTCTTTAGATCCGTCTTCGGGGGGAGGGGATTCTGTCTGGCCCTACTTCCTTCCCGACTGGAATTCAGTAGCTTGATCGCATTCAGGATTTCTGCTTTCGTTGGAGGGTTGGTGTCCACTGGCAGGCAGTTTTGTTCGTGCTGTTGGTAGTGGTGATATTTCTGACTGTGTTGCGGGTGGTGGTCGATTCAAGAGTCCTTTAAAGTGATCAGCCCATTGTTTGATTTGCTTCTCCTCCTTGGTGATCATGTTCCCATGGACATCTTTTATTAGTTTCATCGTCTGGGCTGATCTTTTCCCGGATAACGGGTGACCTGGTTATTTGACATAATATCCTGAGATCTCTTTTCCCTGCTGTTTGTTCTGCCTCAGTTGCAAGCCAGTGTGTCGTAGAATTGTCGTTCGTCTTTTCTAGCACTCTTCTCTACTGCTTTATTTAATGCAGTGTACTTTGAACTCATCCGCTCCTTCTCTTGTCCATCTTTGCATTGAGTCATCTTCACTTTCACCACCCTCCTCCCCTCCATTGGCTTCCAGGTATCCTTTGACAGCCATTTCTTTTCTTGTCTTTTCTTTCCTCCTAGAACGGTTGCACACGTTTCCCTAAATACCGCTTTCAGAGAGTTCCAGTGTTCTTCCACACAGGCTTTCCCACTGATGCCACGTGGTGTGTCCGAATTTTCTCTGATCTAATGTAGTGAAGGTTTTTCTCGTAGTTTTGTTCTTCAATTTCCGAATATTGAACTTGAGTTATAGTGGCCTTTCTCCAGTTGTGCTGAAGGACATCAGTTTCACTCTACAGGTTCCTAAAACTAGGTGGTGGTCTGAGCCAAAATCTGCGCTCCTTCTGGTTTTTGTGCCCAGTAGGTTGGGTCTTCACTTCCTTGAGAATGATATGAAATCTATCTGGTTTGTGGTGTGTCCATAATGCAAAACCCATGTTGCTTTGTGCATATCTTTGTGTTTGTACACGCTCTCTCCGATCACCAAATGATTGAAAGCGTAGAAGTCTCCGTACATCCAAGATTCTATCTTAATTTATTTTAAAATTGGAAGTGACAGTGTAACTATTCATTTGCACTGTAATAGAGAAAACTAACTTGATACCGCGGTATACGCTTTAGTTACTGACAAGAGTCACTGAAGAACGGTAGAGTAGACAGATGGGTGATTCAGCGGGGTCCGAAGTAAATTCGTGATAATTCGTGATAAAGTGCTTGCTTAGTTGTTAAAGCCTAGCTGCTTGTATGATTGTCGAGAATTCTTCTGCAGATATGACTTTAGTAGCTCACTGCAATTCCGACACATAAGTGGTAAACTCACTTAGAGAGAAAAACAGAGATGTGATCAATATTTCACCCCGATTACAAGCTACTTAGAAGAGATCCTATATGATTACAGGTTACCGCTTTAATGTTTTCCTCTGTGGGACCTTATTAGGTTGAATGATGTGGGCAAATTAAGTTCATTCTAGGTACATTTTCTTCTCCAAAGTACAATTATTTTGCAATTGCAAACCTTATTTATTTTTCACATAAAATTGATGCTCTCCCTACTCACATAAAAATTGTCTTGTTAAAATCCTAAAACTTAAACTCTTGCTACAAAGATAAACTAACAGAGACCTTGTCTGTATGCAAAAAAATGATACTTACCCTTTCTCGTTGTTCATTTTCGATTCCTTCTTTTGTCTAGGGTAGCTGAGAAGGTGAATCTTTATTGGAGATTTGGCCACCTAACTCACGCCCAGTTACATTAATTCATACAAGAATTGTTTATTAGCACCCATATCTGGATCTCAAGTTTTTTCTCTTACCCAGTAGCAACCATGAAACACCTGAATCAATTGATACTCATCTTCGTGTATTACGTTTTATACGGAGGTGTAGAGGATTACAATGAAGGAGTTTCTGGAGTTACGTTGACGGGAAGAATAGATCGTAATAACCTGTGGGCTACTACTTGCATAACTTATGAAACCGATGCACTTCAGGTAGCCTGAGTATGGTCCACGTTTCTTAAAACCACCTTCACTCATCAAATCACCCCACTACTCCACCTGTGCTCATCTTTAGAATATCTGAAGAATGTTGCTGGAGGATTTGTATGCACTTAATCAGGCTACTCAAGGACCATTTTCCTGTCTCACATTCGGTCGCAATGTGTCTTAGGCAATTACATCACGCACGACCACCTAATCAAAAAGAATATCGGCTGAAGCCTATTGATTACGTTCATCACCAAGAATGCCAGAGCCATGTATACTGATAATAATATGTAATACAGATTGCGACATCTCAATCGTATGTGATTTGGGATTAAGTCAAGTGCAAAGTCTGAATTCAGCTAAGTAGATCCCAGACGCCATCAAAACCAAGAAACCCTACTACACTGGAACAATGCAGTTTTTGTCGAACTCTTTCCAAAGGGTTTCCTTTGTTTTATCTAAGTCCCTGTTTTTTATGAACATATTTCTAGTAAATTTCTCGAAAAAACACTTCATTTATGAAGTGTAGCAAATTTCGAAAACGCTCAAGTTAAAAACTTTCTTTCATTTTCTTTGGCCGGGGACGGAAGATCATGGGTTCGTGATATAAATCCTTGAGCTGTTCGCTTCTGTGGAGGTTGTACTTCTTTTCAAATGCATATGCTGAATGGACTCAAACAGCTTTATCTGGTAGACAGTTACAGTTCTTAAATATTCTGTGGCAAGATCCGAATTCCATCTGTGTCTTGCACGGCTTCAACGGTTTCTGCTATGTCTGCCTAAATGTATCGTGGAACTATGGAAAAGGCCATGGATTCCAAGGGCCACGCCATCTTTCAGTATATGGGGAGCTAAAATAAAGTTAAATGTACTCCCTTAGTATGATAATGGGAAGAGTCTAAAAACCAACTGTTGGATTCTCATAAGTCAGGCCCAAGATATGCTTAATTAGCCCACCTCCTACCCTTTGCAACGCTTCCAATAAGTGTCAGCCTCAATAAATTTTGAAAAAGCGGATATCTAAAATATGCTATATCATTTCATCTTATCATCTTATGACACACACAGAGAGCCAGCATCACATAGAAGGCATGTGCGTTGAAGTTTTTAGACCTCATTGTAGTTATAATTACTCAGATTCCTCCCTGTCCTCCAAGAACTCGTGCGATCTTTGAGTAGGACTGGACTTATTCGGTACGTTGGTCGAAATTTCGCTCGGTAAACTTTCCATATGAACAATTCTTGATAAAATTGCGTCAAATGTCTTCTGAATTACTGAGAACCTTTATTGTCGGACAAATGTTGTTGTCTGTGACGTGATCTGGCCGTGGCACGGTCTTACCATATTGGTTGCAGTGGTTTGTGTTTCAGACCAACTGTGCTGAAATGTTTATATAATGAGTGTGATGGAATAATCTGACGGTCTACTTTATGTAAAAGCTGTATTTTTCACATAGTTTCATTTTATGAAATCTTCACATTTGTGACTATAACGATACAGACTATTTTCGTGTAAAGCCCACTATTATTTCACAGGCTGATGCTATTAGTACATGAAAATCACCTGCCAGTGTAGACAAAACCTCCTATGAGAAGTTAAAGAATGACGTAGAGCCATTTGTCACCAGATGTTTATTTGGACAGACTTTATGGCAAGTTGAAAAGTTATCTAGGTGGACTTATTATATTACCGCACTGATTGACACAATATACTGAAGATCGCGTAAAAATATTTTATCTGTTCTCCATTCGTTCCTTCCACTGTTTATATAAAGACAATAAAAAGGAAGATACGTCTTTTACATAACCTGTATTTACATGTCGGGCAAGAGATTCGCAAAACTGTCGCTTCAGCTTCTGATAGTTTTCAAAGTCACTGTTCTGTGTCACCGGTTCAGCAATTGTCATGAGTAGCGCGTTTCAGGTAGCAAACACCCACCGCCGAAAATTCTTCAGAAGACGATCAACTGTAATTTAAGATTACTGTACGTCCCACTTACTTTCAAAATGGGGTTAAGTCAGATGAGTAATCACCATGTGACGACAAGGATACCTGCAGGTGATGAACACTCTGCAGACACATGTACCTTTTGCCATATCAACTACCGGAAGTATGAATCCATCGATGAATGACACGTTGTTGGAAATACGGCTGCCAATGAGAGCCCTTCCTACTCTTTTAAAATTCACAACGACCTTTCTTCCGGCACATTCTGTTAATTTCGGTAATAAGGGCTATAAAGCAAGTATCCTGTTGTCCACCGTTCTTACCTTAACATCGTTCACCGTCCTTCCTTTGCAACCTCCTGTCACCCCACCAGTGCACCTTCCACGTACATTTGTGTAAACTTTTACCCCTCGACAAATTCGTTTCATCAACCTGTGCAAACATTCGGCACAATTGTTAGCGTTATTGCCAAGTGGCAAAATACTACGGTTGAATGCTGCTGCCCATAATTTTTTCAAAGGTAGTCATTGTCGAAATTAGGAGTGGCATTCAAACCAACAAACTCAATTATAAACGGGCTTCGTCGGTTAATATTGGATGGGATAAGATGATAGTTTTAAAATCTATTATAGCAGTTTGTAGAGAGAGACTGGCAACACACAAAATTTATGTGTGTGACCTGATATGATTATGAGCAATAATTTGTGATCGAAATGTCATCAGTTAGTACTACTGTACAAACTATGGGATTTATCAAAATGTAATCACGAAAACGGAATACATTGGTTAGCTTCGCAGTCATGTAAGCAGATAATGGCACATTAATAATAAAATAGAGATGTTTTTTATACACTGAATCCACATAACCCATATTTCACTGCATCAATCAATGCAAATATATAATAAATCCAATTAGAAATAACCTTTCAAATTATAATAATTCTTGTCCAAACACACATACGGTGAAAGACACATCTACATGATAACTTCTGTCCCCCCAGAAGTTTCTGTTAGCATCTATAGGTGATTTCCATGTAGTGATAGCGTTCGGTTGACAAATAATTCTGTTCTTCCCACGAAATTAGGCTGCATCTGTGTCCTGAAAAGTGAAGTCTTCATTGAATGATTCTATGCCGAAATGTGTGTAGATGATATTACCCTCCAAATACTTCATCTTGCTCATCATAGCGATATTTTGACACAGTCCGCCTGAAACACTAATCATTGGAACCAATATGCTAAGAATATGTCTCAGCCAGATCACATGACGCTGACAGCAACGTGACTATTCGGCAGATCAGAATTCCTATCAAGCCAGAAAACATGAAACACAATTTTATTGAAACTTATTGACAAAAGAATTTGCTGAGCGAAATTTCAGCCAACATGCCGGGTAAGTCCAGCCCAGTGTTTTCATCCTAACTAATAATCAGCTTCTCAACTTGTTGTAACTTCGAAAAAAACACCGACTGCAAATCACAAATTGAAGGTCATTCTTACCAACTGAGGCATCACCTCCGACTAAGGCAGTACACCCAGTAGACCAACTTTTTAAATGTTTTGCAACATATAAAATCACTGTTAACGCAGACTTAACTATAGGTACTTCTGACTCATGTATATATCTCCATCAAATTAAACATTAAAGGCCATAGACCAACCTCCCCTTTAAGATGCTTCTGATTGCCTTCATGTTTCCTTTTATTTCCGAAAGTACATACAAACATAACATAATTATTTCGTGGTTTATCCTTGTTTACTTTAGATTCTCTCATAGCATTTCACGTTTTTTGATCTGATTATAAGCACATTTATGATATGCCCATTCCCTGGAAAAAATTCAGAGCTTCATCAACTTCAGTCAATTTTCCAAATCCCGCGGTTTAGCATTTTTTTCGGTAAACCTTGCTAACATCAACTCTCACTGTCTTTCCTTCAAAAGATTGACTTGTAGACTATTTCACTCCTTAAACATCAACGTCAAAGATATTTTCCCGATTTCTACGGATCAAGTAGTCATTTAGACCAACAGTTATAATACCAAGCAACAAATGCACTGGAAACAACATCTTCTACCATCCAAAGATGTTCATATGCATCATTTTCGAAATTGTACACAGTGTTATTAACAGCTGAGAAATAACTAAAGCACTGCAACGCCAAATGAAAGCAAAGAATAAAATAATTTCTATGGAAGGAATGAACTGACCGGATGGTAAAAACTTTCAAAACAAGTGAAGTAACTAATTTCAGTGGTTACAGAAGCCAAAAGGTTGCAAAACGCAACATTAATCAACAACCTACATAAAGATAAGTTGTGAATAACTGCAGGATAGCAGTAAAAACAAGTGTGTGGACGGACTGTTAGCAAAAAGCAATCCACGGTAACCGACTAGTATGGACGAAGATGATCTTCAGTTACCTTATTCATATGATCACCTTCAGCTTGCGGGATAATTTCAGCCGTTAAACAGTATCTCTCAGGAATGAATCCGTGTTGTCCATCCATCGATATTCTAAGTTGCTCCATAGCACTCTGTATTTTGTTCTTAATATAGTCTTCCAACACCTAAGAGACAATGTATGTTATGTTTAAAAACACCAATTTGATAGTAACTGCCTAATCCCCACATTGGAGATAGATTATGATTGAGTCCTTGTAATCCTCTACACTGAAGTGGTATGTAAATTGTTGGATTTATCCATATTGTCTGTAAGAAATTTTCCGTCAGAGTGACATCATCAATTCTATAATTTTATTTTTAAAGCACATTCATGTTGCCTACCGAATCTTGAAATTCCGTTTCGAAATTCTTACGCGCGCTTTACGGGATGTACGTTACTCCAGTTATTAGTTTCCTTTGTTGTCTTATGTTAAACCACACATTGTTTTCGAATATTTTTGTTGTCTGATGTTATTATTCTTCAAGAGATTTACTGGGGTTTTGCGGGGATGTCATGGCGATAGATCTTGTTGACATATGCACTTTCAAAAGGCGCCTATATATAGGCTATAGCCATACATATATATATATATATATGTATATAGATATAAGTATATATATGCATAAGTATTCTGTTAAACAGTATATTATGATGCTGTCCTGTCTTGTTAGTTAGTATACAGATTTTGAGTCCAGCTGCTTATGTCAGTTTGTGTGTATTTCTTAAAAACTTTGGGCGCATTGCCGTTCTTGAGTATTCGCCCCGAAGACTGCCCCAATAAGTCTGCAATTGTAGGGAGATTATTAAGCTTTGTTCGTAGGTAATTTTATGGACACTCAGTTAGTAGCAACATAAAAATATCTTGTTGGAAAAATTGGTTGTACTCCTGAACTTCAGGTTCTGAATTGAAGGAAAGTACCTTTGCAGAACTCTGCACACATGTGTGGATATCCGAGAGATGCAATTATCACCGGTTCCGACACTAATGTTTAGAATCTGTTCTAAAGTAACAGAAGGAAAAGCTGTAACCTAGTTTATGGGTAGTTTGTAAACTTTCTTATTTGGAAAAGTAGTATTGGCTCATGCTGACTCAATCTCGTTTGAAGTTCGTCAGCTTGCATCATTTTTGGTTGGTTTCGTTATATATGACTATCAGTCAGCCAGTCATTCTACTTCGACTGTGAGACATAACTAACGAAAGCATAATCTATGAATATATCAACAGTCCTAGACCATGTGTGCCTTCGTTCAGTGCATTGTGTTATGTAGGTTAGTAACCAGTCGAACAAAAATAGGCAAATCCTGGCTAAAGAATGGTAATAATGGGAAATTATTGCCCGAAGGTTAAAATGGGAAAACGGTGGCCAAATAATGGGAAATGCTGATTATATTTTGGTTGAGATAGATAAAATTGTCATATAAGCAAAATTCGCCTACTTCATCTTACTACTGGCCATGCCCGTTTTTCACTATTTCTCCAAATTGGGTGTGATCAGTAGCTTCGGAGTTAGGTGTTGAATGTTAGGTAAGGAGGCAAAATCAGTCGATGAGGTCTTAAAGCAGTATCCATGAAAACGACTAGCCTAGTTGCCTGAAATGTAATTAAGCAAGAGTTATAAATAGTTAGATTTGAAACATGGCGACATTTCATGAAGTTCATACACTTCGGTTTGAGCTGCACATGCCGATGTGGATTACCCAGTTAAGATCTTCGAAATGCTGAAAATCTGCTTGTAGATAATGGCATAGACTGTTGTCATCCAGATTTTGGAAGGCTACGCTGATTATTGTTTCACCATGCGTCTATTGCAGTTCCAATTTACCTCTAATCCCCATTTTTGCATACGGCTCATCTCAATGTAATAACATGGGCTGATGTAGTTTTGTGCGATGCTCTACTCTTTTTTGTCAGTTAGGTCGGTCATTGTAATATTCCCTTTACCACTCTAGTAATTTTAATAGCTTGCATACTTTAAGACAACTGTCTCCATATGGCCCTTATTTTGTTATGCCTTATAACTTGCTCAGGTGCTGTCAAAAATGCTGGAAGAAAATGTGTGCTCAAACTGCCTGAAGCAAAGTGATGTTCACCTCGTTTGTCTTGAGTGTAGTCGTGTACAGCTTTGTATTCCTGTAAGTCATGTAAGTTTTTTTCCTTACTTTAGTGCTATTGTTATGGAGCTGAGTCTGGGATGCACAAGAAGAATCATGGTTATCGCATTGCGGTAAATTTCCTAACATATCTGTTTATTACTTTAGAGGTCTACATTATTACCTAATTCCGTACTTGAAGGTTGGAGTTCTGAAGAAGAATTGAACCTTTTGGAAGCCTTAGAACAGTATGGAATCGGAAACTGGTTAGTGTCCTCATTACTGAATAGCCCATTGTTTTAGGGAGGATATAGCCATAAAAGTAGAAACCAAAAGTGCTGATGAGTGCATGCGTCATTATTGCAATCGTTATTTGAATGAAGTTTTTGGCTTAGAATTATTAAATGATAACAAATATTCTTCTCGAATCACAGACCATACAAACTACAATATAGTGTCGTCTCCAGTACAATCATATTCTACATATATCGATATTGAGGATCAACAGCTGTTAGGTTATATGCCAAATCGTGGTGATTTTGAACGAGTTGGTCAACCGCCTTTCTTTAATTGCCTTTATTTGCTTCGATTCATTTTAGGACTATGACAATGATGCTGAAAGTATTCTCTGTCGTTTGCATCCAAGTTTCTCCCACGATGATCTCGAAGATGGTATGTATACTAAGTAGTATGTTGTGCTATTTATTATTTTACCTCTTTGTATAACGCATAACAATATCTTAGTATGTTGTGTATACTTATTGCTCAATTATAACTAGTTTTTATTCCAATTATTATTATTTGTATTGCAATCTTGTGTTTGAAAATGCTTGATTTCTTTCCCTCGAATTGACTTGGTTTGGAGTCTAACTTTGAATAACTTCCTAGCCAGCAATATCAGTGGGAGTTATAAAGTGGCTATCTATCCCTCTTTTTGGTTGTTGAAAATACCCATTGATTGTAGAGGATTTGCAAGAGTTTCGGTTATTTGATCCACCCTTTTTTTGTGGCATAGTTCTCATTTGATCTCTTTCACCTCTGTGATGTATATATTTGCCTAGCACTCAACAAAATAATTCCCACTTTACTACTTGTATCTTTTTAAATTTGTTCAGATGGAAAAGTATTCAAATGCACAACTCTTTAGTTAACATGTAATTGCCTAAATCATTGAACGCAAAGCTTTTATCAAACACTTAGTTGTGATTACGTTTTACTCTTCAGATTATTTATGGAGACCATATGAAATATACCATATGATTGTTCCTATTACATTCATTGCTTTCACTACTATCACTTTAATACATACTGCGCATGTAATGTAAGATAACAGTGATTCCTTTAAATTGACATTTGTGTCGACTAATGCTGATATCTGAGTATGGATTCGTATTGGCGAAAATATTTCTGACGATATATTATATTCATTGCTATTGATAACAGCCAGTGGATTTTGCTAGCTAGGTTGAATTTATGTGAGCATGCATATATATCTATGTATGCTAAACATTCACAGTCACACAAATGTTTATTTTTCATTTTGTAAATATTTTCAGCTTTGAAAGTTGCACAAGTCAATATATACATGCAGAGATTACGGGAACGTCAGAGACGTAAAGAGATTGCTTGTGAACATTCCTTAATACCGCATATCTTGGCGTTTATTCTAAATAAACGTGTCAAAAAACGTGCACCTGTAGGTGATGTTATTATAGAAAATACGCCTATAAAAAAGAGACCTCGTGGACGTCCGCCATCAGCAAATAAACTATTAATACAGAGTAAGCTGATCAATAAAACTACACCTGTTACAAGAATATCTAACCTTCACGAGTCTGTAAATAAGGATCCCGGTAAGAAACCACCTCCAAATAGTTGGCTAGCTGCTCCTTTCATTCTTCAGTCTTCAGGACCAACAAAGGGTGCACCGATTATAGTAAATACTCCATCTGATGTTACAAGTGATCATCACATGACAAATGAGTGTAAAGGTGAATATGCGTCGACTAATTGCAAGATACGAACAGGAAACTCTATTGGAGATTTTAATGGATTGTAAGTTTGCGGAAGGTAATAATAATGTTTACCCACTTATTACGATTGTGAGGATTTTTATTGCAACTTCTATTTTCCTTGTTGTATGGATAAAAGCTAGTTTTCATGCTATAGTCCATCTTTTCTTGAAGGTGGTTCAATAATTCCGTTTAACAAAAATGCTCATCAACTGGATTGAAAAGTGATTCCAGTTAAGAAACTATTCCCAGAATTGACCAATAGCCAAAAGGATAAGTCCGTGTTTGCGTTTAAATTTATGAGAGGATGCCTTTGTGGAGAATACCACAAGAAAACCTTAGCGAATTTTCTTCAAGATTGACTTCTTACAGTGAGTTTTCAAAGTAATTAGGAGCTGAAACTTAGATGGAACTAAGATGTTTGTTGATTCATGCAAACTGATCTAAATAACATAAACCACTAATAATTTATTGCTCAGAAAGATAAAAGCCTTTTATTGAACAAACATTGCCTGTCAAGGGAAGTAGTGACTTACTATTCCATATATATATATATATATATATATATATATATAAATGATGATGAGCGTTTAAAGCCTCATTTACTTACTTGTCTTTCTTACCAAATACTATAAATGGTTTTATAAGTAACAAATGCAGAATACATGTTAAGAATACTTGAATTTGTTTGCACTTAATGTACTTAGAGGACTGCTGTTTTTCAACATACTGGCTTAACGGAGTTATTTTGACAGTAGGATGCTTGCCAAGTAGGTTGACGAGTTCCGTTGCAATAATCCTTAATCTGGAACACTCAGTCTCCTTTATGCATTTTCGATAAAGCAATAAGAAGACACAGTTTATTTGAGTAGTGTAATGTATTTTCCTTAACACATTTCGAACAATCTGACCACTCACGTACTTTTCATAGGAATTTATATTAAAAATAATCAAGCGTTAAGGCGTAAGTTTGAAAATCAATAAACCAAAAAGAGAAAAGGGGATTAATAGTACGTCACTCTTGGCATCAAAACAAAAAAAATACTAAGGAAGCTTCTCTATGTTGACTAATTGTTTGTGAACACATCTGTCTGTTTTCGACATAGAACTTTGCACCGATGTGCGGCAGTTCAAGTCGCCACACTCTATGTGAACACATAAAGATGCCTCAAACTTCCCAATCATTAGGGCTCTCACAAACCTTAGAGTATGCCCCCAACAAGTCTTATAAAGGGTGTATAAACATCTGCTTTATGCCCTGTTTCCATAGTATTTTTTTAGCATTAACAGGATCTGGGATTCAATCTGCTTCTGAAGTCCTTACTTGCAGAGATCGATGAGTCCTCCTGATGTAATTGTAATCGTACTTACCTTTAAAATGATAAATTCAGCTGGATGTGACATCATTTTTTACATATTTTTAATGACAGAGATGTAAGCGTCAGTGCATGTATAAAAGACAAACATATCGATTGGAAGCTGGATGTCAGAGTGCACTTCAACTATTTTCTTTTTCAGTAGTTGTCGTCAGCCTACTTTCCCTCCACTCGGAATTCCAAAGCTAAATATAGTTCATATTACTCTTGTGAATCTCACTTTACTCTCTTCTCTGGCTTTGTGTGCTACATGGAGTGTGGCAACTCGAACTGCTGCACATCTGTGCAAAATTCTCTGTTGAGACCAGTCAGTCAGTCATAGTGATTAATGTCCTTGAATTTATTATTATTATTACTATTATTATTATTATTATGATTTCTCTCCTTTAGATAATCCACCCAGTGTGAATTATCTCATTTTAATTACGGTTTATGCGAATCTAATAATTTCTCTCACAATTTCCTTCTTTCTTTAGTTATTTAAATGAAAAGTTGAAACCATTTCTAAGATATTTTACTGGCATGCAAGGCAAACATTTTATAGAGAATCTTTATAGTAAGCTTACCATTTTCCGTTTGTATCATATTGCACGTATAAACGTATATTAATGTTGAGACTACTCGAGATAGTTTTGAGTTGATGGACTGTTATAGATGTTGACGACTGAAGGCGAAGTATGACAGGACTCGAACCTGTGACCCCCTGAATTACTGGTCAGAAGTTCTACCAGTTAAACTATGAGATCTAACTGCTAACCAGGTCACTACGATTGCCACTGCTCCTCCCCTTCTAATTCACTAAGACTAACAAGAGAACACCTAACTGGGCAACTAGTGGCTATGTGTGTCAAAGGACAGTAACGTGTCACCTGCCATTCACATGATAGCTACGCATTACTCGTGATTCTCCTTATTCCTTTGCGTTCCCAATGGAACATAAGGCTATCAGTTTGAGATATGAAGTTTCAGTAGCGGTAGTGTTTTGTTTTTACGTGATGGGGTGGTTAACTTCACACGTGACCGAGTTTACTGCCAGCTAATCAAGGTTTAACAGCAGTACATCAACTGAGAGTCGAACCCTGGACTAGGTGGATGGTTGGCGAGTATTCTACCACTGAACAATCGGGATCTGTGATGATTGCAGCGAAATGATGACCTAGGGTCTCATGACTCAGCTAGTAGAGTACAGGATCAGTAATTCGGAGGTTAGTGGTTCGAGTTCTGCCACGACCCCAAGAATTTCATTTATTTTTATTTATCACTTACTGATGTGATGTATTGGTGATTAGATAACCGTTTCTTTCTACTCCTTTTTGTGTACTACAGAAGAAGAGTTACTTAAGCATGAAATAAAGTATCTACTGGAATTACGAGCCAAAGGAAGGACGCAATTTATGAGTAAATAACTTTTAAAAATTATTTTTCATCTATTTCTAATGATTGCTATTATTATTATTATTATCAATTATTTTTTCTAGACTTTAATGTATCACTAAAAACTGAATTGAAATACTTTTCATTGCCTTTTAATACTAATTTTGGTTATTGATTGTATTTATAATAATAATTGTATGAATTACACTGATAGTTATGTTGATAATGTCGCTTCTGAATGGAATGCGGAGTGATTGAGTTGAATAAAGACACTATGACAAAATAAACTATCGTTTCAGTATAACATGACTATAAGCCTACGTGTGTGTGTATGTGTGGAGGAGAGTCAGTTATTGATTACACTCTGTGGTGGTAACTGCTTTTGGTCTAACCGTATGGTAGAACCTATGAAACATTAGTTCCAGCTGGTGCATCTTGTTGGGTCATCAAGCTATTCTTGACCGACCACCTTATGAAGTCAGCAACTGTTGATTGAGCCCAGGAAAGAGAGAACCTTGGGCATGAGGTTAACAACTCCACCGTCTATTGGAACTGTAAATCTCAAGCGTGAAGCTGTGTGTTCCTCTGACAACGCAAGGAATGAAGAGAAATTGTCTCTGGATTAATCGTATTCACCAAATCAAACATTTGAAAGATGTAACTTTAGAAATTGTGTTTTCCTACTAGTCCTGTAAATAATCAACACTGATTCCAGTCATGTCTACTGGACCTGAATTCTTAGTATCTACCGACACGTTGACTCCTAATGAAGAAGCTTCAACGATGCCTGAAGCCTAAAGTAATGTTATTTGGTTGATGGTGATTAGCAGTGGAATCCAGAACGCACGGTTCGTTCTATTTGCAACTCATCAGTTGGGTGCAACTGGTATTCAAGTCAATAAGTGCTAGGTCTCAGTGGGAATGACATTAAACTTGACTCATACAATTCAGTCAGTCTGCACTAAACAAAGGACTAGACGCATGACACTAGTTACTACCTAGTGTCCAATCGAAGCATCCAATACAGTTCTACAGGTGGTCAATCGCGAGCCCGAATAGCTCGGTGGTAGCGTGTCTGACTGCAACATTAGTTGGCACGAGTTCGCATCTCATAACGGAAATGAGTTCCTTGAAGATTACAGATACTCCTTGCTGACTGGTGAGTGCTAAGAAGCACGAAACCTAGGTCAAAAACTTCCTCCAACCATCTAATAAGAAGAACATCAATCGCTTGGGATGCAAGTACATTCAGCTGACTGGTTCTGAGTAGGACAAAATGCTCAACCTAAATTCACCTACAATCAACCCAATAAAGCTAATGTTTAACAACCTAGCTAGTCTTCTCAAAAAGTTTGTTAAATTATTATTACTTTGATTATATGGTCAAATTAAAACTACCTACATGTGTTTTCTAATTTTAAGGTATGAAAATTAAATTTCCATTATTCAAAAGTTCAGTATATCATCATCTTCGAAACAGAAGTATCACTGATCAACCTGCAGAACAAACATCAATAACCAGTCCAGGACATGGGAATGGTCGGGACCAGCAGCTACAACAACAGCATTCACGTCGTTTCTATCAAGTGAAAAAGAAACGACGTCGACATACAAATACACCATGGTATATGAAAGTACAGCGTAGAGTTAAACAGTATAAATAATAATTGTTGTTACTCTGTCTCTCTTTCCATCTCCTCTTCATCTGTATCTTGCTTATTTCCTTATTAATTGTTTATATTCATCATATTATATTTCTATATTATTCAGAGAAGATTCAATATATATTTGTTTTTTTTATACCAACTAACACCAAGATTCAAGTGTACTTTTGCATTTATTACCCTATATAATAATTATTATTATTTTATAGTCATTATTCATTATTTGAAGAAGAAAAACAATAGTTTATTCCCTAATGTACCATTTCTATCTCTATTCTCATTTATTATTGTCATAATTATAAAAATATTGCTTAATATATTTGCGTAATATGTATATTACATGACAAATTCAAGCTATATTTGCTTGATATTGATGAAGTTTATTGACTTGAAATTGTGTGAATTGTTATTTTTGTTATCTAAAAGTATATGTGAATGCTGTACAATGCTGTTTTTCATTTGTATGAAGTTGTTACGTCAGAGGTATGTTATCTGATTGGTTTCCAATATAGACCTTTGAACAGAAGTCAAGTAGTTCAAGTTTCTACACTCAATGTAGCAGACAAAGGTAGAGAAAAAAAGGGATTGAGAAGTAGTATAATAAGCGAAAATATAAAGGAGAAAGATTGGTAGCATGGAAAAACATGAAGGTCCAATGGAGATTATTATTATTGTTGTCCTATTCTCTACAGTCCTCTTCAGCTGGTCCCACAATCGCCCATATGCTTTCATCTGCTGTATGTCACCCTCGGACACATGCTCAGCTCGTCGTTCCTCATTCGGGTTCCACTCGAGCCATGGCCTGACGCGCGATATCCATCTCCATTTTCTTCACCGTATTTTTTGAGTAATTGGTTCCTTTCCAGAGTCTCTTGTTGCTAATTCTTTCTGGCCTTCTGATCTTGAGTATTGAGCGAGGACAGATGTTGGAAATGCTTTTTGTAATGCGCAGTGCAGGCTTCTGACTCATATTTGAAGAACTGATTTAACACTAGTGTTGAGAATCTGAATTCCGTTCTTTATGCGGAGTGCAGAAGATTTCTAAAAATGATTTCATAGTGATGAAGGTCTGTCTTGCCATTCCGATTGTGGTTCTGAAATCCTCATCCATGCTGTCGTCTGTAGTTGAAAAATGCTGCCTAGATGAGTGAAGGAAGTGACTTTCAAATTTCACCCGTTCATAGTGGTTGGTGTTTATTGTTGTTAGTTGGTTATCTTCATCATCTCTATGTCTACTTGAAGTCCTGTCTTTGTTGCCTATTTTGCCAACTTGTTGGTTTTTGCCTGTAAGTCTTCGAGTTTGTGTGACATTAGACATAAATCATCCTCGAATTAGAGATCTTCTGGAGTCTTCTTATCGGTTCACTTAGGAATATCATAGGTGATAGTAGACAGTCTTATCTTACTCCTTTCTTAAATTCAAAGGCTCTGCTGAGTGAATTTTCCGTTGTTGACCACTTGATAAAAACCACCGTTATATAGCTGTGAATGAGGTTGATAAAGATTTCAAATTACTTCACAGTCAACGCTGTCAAAGGTCTTTTCAAAGTTGATAGGGAACTGCAAACAGTGAATACACCAGCGCTGCTGAGAAGGATTTTGAGCGATATTGCCAACAGTTTCAAGCCACTGATTCTTAAAATCCCGAGGGTCCCAACCAGGCAGTCTTCATTCTGCTCTGCGGCTCAAACCAACGGCCAAAGATCTAATGGCTTGACGCCAGGAACTGGTTTCACTACTCCTAACTCTTTTCCTACTTAACTTTATTTTGGTTAGCATTCCTTGTCAAGGAAGGCGCCAACTTCCTCCATTCTGTCTATTTATCAGTAAAGAGTTTGTTTTTTGGTATGTGTAAACACTGCTTAATTGGGGTTCTCAAAATGTGAAGGGTTAATAGCTGGAAGTTATTGGTAAAATGGTTCGAAATCTTTCTAAATGCCACAGATGCATTCACTTTATATGATCTCTCAGATCTATTGAGTTCTTATTATCCTTCATATAATCATTCTTACTCCTGTTAATTATAGATTCTTTGCAATTGCTAGATTGTTGTATTACTTTTGGTTATTTGTAAACAATCTTTAGTTAGCTAAGCAAACATGAGATGTGAGACATATTTTGTATTTTGGACTATCCAGCTATAGTTCTGATTTGGCTTATTAACTCTTTCTCTATTGGTCTACGGTAAATAGTGGTAACATTTGGGTTGGAGGATTGCTATTATTATTATTCCCTTGGGTTCTGAGTGGAACATAGGGCTTCACCAATACATCTCCACTTTGTTCTATTTTCTGATGTCCTCTTCAGTTTAGTACATGATTGCCCATAATCTCTCATCTCCTCCTTAAAGGATAATTTAGGCGTAATATACTATCATACTTTTTTGTACGCATCATCATCCTAAATATCTGTCAAACATTTTTAAGACCGTCTCTATATGATCATTTCAGTTTATAAACGGGTTGTCTTCGGTTCTAATATTATAGACTTCATGTCGATTAGATTAATAAGAATTTCTTGGCTATTAGATGTCCACTTCCATCAATTTCTGAGAGCAAATGAATATATAATTCGACTTGAAAGTAAATCTGAACACTAAGACAAATAAGCTTCATTCTATTAAAATCAGTTGTCCTTTCAAACACTTGAATTTGTATAAAGGTACTAGATGAACTGTCTGTCACATAGTTCGACAAAAGTTTTGACACTAGCTTTAAAATCGGTATACTTTCGATTGAAACTACTGCGATTGTACATTATCCTAACGCATAGTTCACATAGGTCATTGCGTATTGATTTTAACTAAGTAGTTAAGCTGGGGGTAACAGTGATTCTGAAGTGCCTTCATCAGGAGTTTATCCAAGCACATGCACTACCTAGCCTATATAAGCATTTCAAGAACATATGATCTCGTGAGTTAAATTGCGTACTGGGCTAGCGTGAGAGATAATATTGCAGAGTATGTCCTCACCTGCTCAAACTGCAAATTAATAAAAGGTGAACGAACATTCGGTGACAACTACAATCGATTCTAGTAGATGATTTGTGGTCAGTAGATATGATTGGCTCTCTCCCTCAAGCGTTGAGTGGTGACCAATAGCTGTTAGTGATGATAGAGAACGCTATGCGTTGGGTAAATGCAATAGGTATTCCAAATCACTGTACTAAGACGTTAACTGAGACAGCAATTAGACATTTTACGGATGATTTCTAGACATAATTACTATTAGTAGAGAGAAACCACACTTGAAGTATTACGACAAGTGAGAAACCTTACAGTACAGTTAGAGTATTTGGTATCTAGAGCGGGTGAAACCTGGTCATGCAGATTTAATGGTTTAGATAGTGACGATCTACCAAGTTGGTAACTAATAAAGACAATGAGACTCAATGATATACCAGCTTAACATGTAAACTGAATATAACCTGGGATCGATCCTTAGTGGAGGTATGCGTACGTACAGATGAAGAATGCCAAATTAGGAAGAAACAACTGTCCAGTACTCCTTGGTTTACAATGAATCTCTAACTGATATCCATCTTGAAATCAGTCAAACCCTTGCAAATTAGGCAAAAGAATCATACTGATGCAATGTCACTGTCACTAGGTTTTCACTTAATGTACGGCAAATAAATTTAGTTCAAAATATTATTTCATTCGACTTGGTATGATATCTTGATACCACTTAAAGTAGGATGGAAAAACCGATTGACTCCTGACCTACATACATATCTTCAAATAGTCTATTTTAAGAAATCACTGATATAGGAATAGAACTTGGGCACTGTGGTATAGTATAATTCCATCATGTTATACAGTAATATTTACTGATGACCACGTTCCGAGCACAATTTATTTCTCACAATTATATCAAAGTACTCACACAACTTTTCGAATTCGTATATACATAATTTCATTATTTTCCATATCTCTGGTATTAGTAATGAGTCATTCGATCAACAAGGATTCCTTTCCATCTGTCTATACTACTCTTTAGAATTGTAACTCTGCTTCACCCTATTGTGTGGTCGTGTGTTGCTGAGTTTTTTTCTAAATTACTTATCTTCTCGGGGTCAGTCATTCTCCACTTAGCCAAATTCTTATATTCTGATAATCTGCCTACCTCTGATCTCTTACCTTGACCTATGGTAGGTGACCTCACAGTCATAGTAAGGTATTATTTTGTAAATTATGTTATATATGCTGGTATGTTCGCGTCTCACAATTTGTCGAAATATAACAACCTAGCGAACACACTGTTTATTAAGCCTGAAATCTAATTTTTCGTTCATAAACTCTACTAGCTTTTGACTAATTATGGGCTTTATAATTTTCGACATTATTAATTAAAGCGGTTACAGAGAAGTTTTGTCTTCCATTCTCAGAAACAGGGTTGATTACTAATCTAAACGATATAGATACACCATCCAATAGCTTAGATAGTCCAATGGATGCCCTTAATGCATGATATATTTCCAATGGAAATAAAAATACCACAGAAAGAGGGATGCATACATATATTGGGTCATAAAAATCATCAAAAGAAATGACAAGAAAATTATGACACGTTACTACAACTTATTTATTCTTCATTTTCATAGTTAATTTAGCCATTTGAATAACACCTTCACGTGTCTTATGAATCCCAAGAAATCCAGTAGCATGTACAAATACACAATCTGGTATACCAACAATTAAGCTTAGCTGGTCATCACGTAATCCCCTCCAACTCTCTGGTAAAGGTAGCCTACAGAAAAAGTTAAACAGAAAAACCATTAAGAACATACTTTAGGCAATTTACATAGTGTGAAATTTCATTATTGATCATAAGATGTCTTTAATCATCGAACAGTTGAAAACTACGGAGTACTGGATAGCTGTTTCGTCATTGTCCGGGACCCATCATCAGCAAGCACACATGACCCAACCAAGGTTAGAATTTCAAGTTACAAGGCAAGCTCATCGACTACTCACTCACTCACTAGGACAAAATCTAATGATTAGTAAATTCAGAATTCTCCCAGTTTGCGACATATATCGCCAGCTCCAACAAATATCATCTTGACGCATGTCCTCACACCGGACTTGGTGGATCCCATCAGTTGCAACTCCTCACTAGAAATTCAGGTACTCTATGCTGTAGGCAGTGACTAAATGAGCGCTGGACTAATTTCCAAGTTTGATCACGGGTTGGTATCTGTTACAGAACCATTGAAAACCTGCCTGGAGTACTGAACAGCAGTTTCGTCCTAGTTTGAGACACATCAGTACGCACCCACCGGGTTTCGAACCCAGAACTTTCCGGGTACAAGTCAACTACTGGGACCCGATTTAATGGCCCACGAACTCTAACTTCTACCAATTTGCGACTTTAGCACGACTACCAGCTAAGTGCTTTTTTGCAGAGAGTCCCAAACAAGGACGAGACAACTATCCGTCCAGTAGACCCCTTAGTTGTCAATCGTTCTCTAGATGAAATCAGTTTTTGACTAATCTTGAAATTAATCAAATCCTTGCAGACCAACACTCGACAATTTAAAATTGTTTTTCACTACATACGAACAGCAATCGGAAAATCATTTAAAATTACTAAGGGACAGTGAATACTTGTTCCGTTCTACTTTGAGACGCTTCAAAAGTAAATATGCATCTATATGTGTACCGAGACCATTGTGATAGAATCTAGTGATCTATGTATTTATCACAGGTTCCTACTGGTGAAGAAACTCGAATTAGGCCGAAACATGCCATTGGTTTCGGTAAATTCTCCAGTTTGATGTCAATTTGTGATGAAAAGTAATTCGGAAGAAGAAAACTAACAGATATGAAATGAAAAATACCTACTTACCTTTGGGTGAATGTATTATGTTCATCCAATGGTATAGCTTGTATACCCCATGTAGTGTCTTTACGCTCATATATCACATATAACATTGCGTCATCATCATCACTATCATTATCCTGACAATGATTTCCACTTAGATTATTCCCTTGTTTTTTATTCTGTTTTATCGATTTTTCAATTTCAAAAAAGTGTGCATTCCATGGACATCCAGTACCTTCAAGATGAATTATTGCTCCAGATGGATCTGTTTCATATCTAGATTGCACAGCTTTTAAAACAATTTCACGAGCAGGATACCATGAATTTGAATAGAAGTGAACTAATCCAACAAATTCGTTATCAACTAATTGTAGAGCATTTTGAAAACACACCTTTAAAAAAACAAAAAACAAAACAACAGAAAATTATACACATACCGGACATTATGTTCAATTTGGATTAAGATATCAGTGGAGAAGTTAACATTACTGATCCAAACAACATCTGTAGACAGCTGTATAAATCATTCAAATCGTTGAACTAGTTGTTTTTCTATGTTTTACATATAATGATGCAGAAGTCTAGAATTGTGGAGCATTAGACAAACAGAGATGACAATTTCATTAACAAGATAATGTAAATGTATATGACAGTGAAGTTATCTGTGCTGCACTATGTTAAAGCTAGATACATCGGTGATTCCATTGGTAAGACACTGGTCAATCAAAAGCAACTGGTTCGGGGTTCGATACCCGGCTGACGCACTCCAGTAGTTAACCCGATAAAAAGAGGGAAGGTTGAGTGTGTGTGTGTGTGTGGCAATAAGTCCCACTGCGTAAAAAATAAACACCACTGCTACTGAAACTTCAAAAGCTCTAGCTTGTAGCCCTATGTTCCACTGGGAACTCAAAGGAATGAAATAAATAATAATATAAAATTTTGAAGCCACAATACTAATAGATTATGGGTAATAATCACAAGGTACATGTTACGCGCGAATTATGTCAAAGATTGAAAATGATAGAGATTACTGCCTAGCACAAAAAGACTTCATTCACTATCATCCAATGTAATTTACACGAAATACAAGTAAAAAACAGAAGTGATCTGTCAAAATTTCAATCTGTATGACTTGGATTAGAACTGCACTCCACCTAGTTTAGCCAGCTCTACTAATACAAGCGAACCTGTTGACTATTCATTCATTGAGACGTGATCTAATAGCATATGAATTCTACTCTTTGCCAACTTTATCGATGAATATTTGTCCTTACAACCAACTTGATGGAATGCTCCACTGGTCACGAAGTCATACTAGAATACCCCTTCTCGTAATAAGTCAGTAATGACCACTGAAACTGCTCGTTTGCAGGGAATTAACTGATTCACAGTTAGACTTAGATCTGATATAAGTTAGACACCCACTGAAAACCTAACAACTGTTTCGTCCTAGTCTTGGGCTCTTCAACAATACGCACCAATGAATGGATTGGATTCAGTGGTTGAATAGTTAAGCGATCACCCTGAAATCTGAAGGTTCTGGGTTCGATCCCCGTTGCAACAACGGGTACATTACAGCTGTCCAACATTCTCTGATTTTCAGTAGTTCTCGAATACATGTTAGTTGATGGCCTAACTTGAAATCAACCAAACCTCTGCAAATCAACAGTGATTTCATCAAACCATCTATAGTTGTCTTTCATAATCCAACCAGTCAGAATTCGTCTTCTACATAGAGCAGAAGAAATTGAACCTGTGCACTCAGAAGAAATTCGTATAACCACTTTCGTTCACTATACCATCATTATATGAATGTGTAAAGTTGACAATCCCCCCTTTCTCTTTCTCTTTCTGTTTCTAAGCCATCTGCAAGTTATTGTCTTCTTAACTATCTTGTTATTGTGCTTACTTCAACTTTAATTGTTTCTCTAGTAATCAACTGACTTCTCTTACTTTTTTTTCCAGAATTATGTATTACACGTAATGCACTTGTTTAATTTTCATAAACATTCTTCAAAACTTTAATTGATGCATTAATTTTCTTGTTTAATTATTATCCATGTTTGACACGTTGATACTGACTAATTATTACTAAAAAAACTTATGGCTAATAGACAGGTAACTGACTGCATGACTGTCTGACTGATTTCAACAGATAACTGCAACAGTTCAAGTTGCTGACACTCCATACAGTACATGAAGGCAGACAAAAGAGAAAAAAAGGGATTCGAAACAACGATAAAAAGAGGAAATATGAAGGAGATGGCATAATAACATGGGAAAACATAACGATTTAGTGGATTTCAGAGATCCCAGAGAGTGAATGCATCTGCGCCAGTGAGAACACTTTAGAGCCATAGCACCAATTATCTCCAACCATTGGTTCTTACCATCCCGAACACCCTAGCCCTGCAGTCTACATCTCCTTACGTAGTTGGCTCAAACTAAAAGATTCTATGGATTGATTTCAAGTTTTGGTTTGACCAGAGTTCTTGTGGATGAGGGATAATTCTGAGTTGTTAAATGAGTGAATTAATAAAGATGTATTGAATTTGATAAGTATACGAATTATAAAAACATCTTCTTCTCTAAACAATGAATGCCTACAAAAACAGAATAAAATTACTATGCTTTATATTTGGAGACAATTGGCAGGAAGTTGCGGGTCTAAGCTTTGTGCTTTCTAGCAATTGTCAGTAAGGTATAGCTGTAAAGTTGCAGAAAATGATGTCCCAGGTGAGAGCCAAACTCATTTTGCCACTTGGTTTTGAAATAAGAGACTTTATGACTGGACTATTCAATCTGAACGCAAATTCGTAATTTCATTTAGTCGAATGACAGTTTAGATTCAAAAACACTGTTGAGCAAAGGCTACTAGTACAAGTACATTAGGCCAGCTAAACTTTAATAGCTGACGGGCAATTCAGATTCATGACAGAGTTGGCTAAAAGTTGAAAGTCGAACTTATTATTAAGAAAACATTAATTCGTGCCATACATTACAAAAGACAGAATATATCCCTAGTGCAACTTACATTTTCATCGGCATCTGTTTCATTCCAGGCTGGATTCAAACGATTCACTCGACTACTTAAAGATGTATTGATGGAATATCTATGAAGAAAAAGACAGAAACCAGAAATAATTACCATCTTAATTGTGACAAGAAATATTACATAGTTTTTCAAATTTAATCACAAATTTGTTCCAGGTAGACAACTATTGTAAACGAGATAGTACTGGACTGCTAGAAGAAACAGGGTGAAGTTGCTTCAAGGTCCTAGTGGAAGTTTTGATCAGCAGCTCCCACAAAGTTGGGCATGAGGATAGATACTGATGACATTGGCTAGTGGTAGTGCTATTTCACGAATTAGTGGAAATTAGGATCGTTAGGCCGTTGGATTCAGCCGTAGTGGTTGAATGGCATACGAGTCCGCCTTGTGAGCTGAAAGTTCTGAGTTTCGCCCACAGTGGAGTCACGGGTGCATACTGTTGAAGAGCCCCAAACATTAGGCGAAACAGCTATCCAGTACTCTCTGGTGTACAATATTTCTCTAACTGAAGTTTATTTGTGATCAAAATTGAAATTGATCAAATCTCTGCAGAACCAATAACTGCAAATAGTTATTATTGAACAGATAATAGGAGAGGCATCACAACTAACCTTAACGTTGATGACGCTAACGGGACACCATTATCAATAGCATCGATTTCAACAATGAATGAATTGTATATCTGAAAGAGAGATATTGGGTGTAGTTATTTATTTTTATGATTTATGGAGTTAAAATATAAGAAGAGAAAGAACATGGTGATATATACTACTGACTGATTGATACTGAGTAGTTAGGAACCACTCACAACAAGCAGTACAGTAGTGCTTGCTAGCCAGATAAAAATAATCTGAACATCGGACCGAGATCATTTAGTGATGTAATCAGTTCGACTCAGTTCAAAGAGAAAAATCAGAAAAGGAAATAAAAAAAATCAGCATAAAAATTACCTTATCAAAAAGAGCATCAACTAATGGATCAGTTATATCTTCTTTGCCAAGTATACGAGATAATATTTTCCTACCGAAATGAACGTATATCAAACCAGCACTGCTGAGTTTAATATCCCAATCAGATTGAGGGAAAAAGTCCTTATAAGTAAGAGTGAATCCTCTATAATAAAACAGAAACCAAAATATCAATAATAATAGTAATAAGTCAACCGCAACGAGAATAACAGTGATTATATTATTACTCCTTTAGGTCCCGAGTGGAACACAGACCTTCAACAGCCATCAACATTTCATACTGTTCGCTACAGTTGCTTTAACCTGGCTCTACTATTGCCCATAAGCTATCATCTACTTCTCACACGATCTACTCCATATCACCTTCGGACGCACACCCAACTCTTCGTTTCCCATTCGGGTTCCCCTCGAAGCCAGCCTGGTGTGCGATGTTGCTCAACGTGTGTCCAATCCATCTCCATTTTCTTCGCCATGTTTTTGGGTGACGCATTCTTGATACATTCATTTAGAGAGGTCCTTTTCGCCCATTTCTTCTGTCCAGCTATCTTATCTTCACCGAGGAGCCAGAGAAGGCAGTTGTTGATAAAAGTTTGAAGTCAGCTGTTACAACTACCTTTAGAGACACACGCATCAAGTCTCTGAATCATACAGAAGCACTGACAGACTTGACATTTTTTTTTTTATCCTTCACGTTCCCCAGTGGAACATAGGGCTTCAAGCTGGAGGCTTGACATTAGTACTGAAAATCCAAATCTTAACATTGATACTACTACTGCTAGTAATAACAATAACGATAATAATAGTAACGACAGCAGTTGATCCCTAACTAACCTTTGATGATGATCGTATAAATGATTCTCTGCACTGAACACTCCACCACAATCAACGACTATATCACAAGTTGACAAGATACTAGCGTCACGTGTACGTATAATATCAGCATTGGCATATTCTGGCAGGTGTTTAAGCATTGCACAGGCTAAAACTTCATCAGCATGAAAACGTCCATCATGTGTACCGATACGAACTATTGAATTAGTCACCATTGATATGAATGAAGTATTACAATCTGTTATAATCCAGCAAAAAAATAAAATAAGAGTAAAATAAAAACTAATAGGTACATTTGAAAAACAAAATCAAAGGGACTCACTAAAGAATATTTACGATGACATTTATTCACTGGACAAAGTTTTATTAAAACAACATACCACTATTAATATTCCAATCCTATAAAAACTAATTCTACTACTCCTACTATTGATAGTCATTTTTTCTATGTTGATTCATTGTGGAAGATTACATGATGACGAATAAAATACACATATAAGGTTGAATTTCATAGATTTTTAGTTTAACAATAAGAAATAATTACAGGATATCATCATGAGCTGACATTGGTTAGAGAACCATTGAAAAGCCTGGGAGTACTCGACAGTTGTTTCGTCCTAGTTTGGAACTCTTCAGCAGTACTTACCCACCTGGGTTCGAACCCAGGACCTTCTGATTACAAGGCGACCTCGTATACCATTAAGCCACTGGGACCCGATCCAATGACCAACCCATGAATTCTAACTTCTGCCAATTCACGATATAGCGCAACCGCTAGCCAATGTCTTCGGCGAGTATTTGTCCTCACAACCGACCTGCTGCACCCTACTGGTCACGACTTCCCACTGGAACCCCAGGTAACTACCTACCTGAATAGGGCCAGTCGCCAGTGAGCATCTCATTGATATTCAAGTATGTCAGCTCATGATGAAATCCTGTAACCAATCAACCAAATCCCTAGAAACTAATACTTGAATAAGAAATGAGTTAGTCAAACCCACTTATTAATTCCTAATGAAGAAGCATCAATGATGACGTCAGAACTGACATATTAACAGTCATGTTCAGGGAAAATCTTAAACGGTACATATTTGATGCCTCACTAAGCTGTTAAATTATTTCCTATTTATACTTTTAATATAGATCAGTGATGAAAGGAGAAATGATCATACATCTTTAAGTATAACTGCCCAAGAGTGATGGAACCAGAGGATGAGTAGTACCAAAATTAGACGCAAACACAGACGATAAAGAAGGCGACTATGTCAATGAGACTATGTATATACTTCGACTGAAATCGCTTACATGTAGAGGTATGCAAAGGAAACATTTAGTTTACAGAAACGGTAACTTCAATCACAAACAGGAGTAATTTATGAGTTCCGCAACTGTTAATCTTTGTTCAAACTCCTTAGGTGACATTTTTCCCTGTTACGTTCCGAGTGGAACATAGGGCTTCAAGCTACAAGCTTTGAAGTTTCGGTGACAGTGGCTGAGTTTTATGGAGTGGGGTTGCTAACTCCCCACCCAACCTTCCTTCTTTACCGGCCTAGCAAGGTTTAAGAGTGCGTCGGCCGAGGATCAGATCCCGGACCACGCAGGTGGATGGCGAGCATCCTACTTCGGAACCACCGATGCAAAAATAAGGAGTACTGGACAACTGTCTTTTCCCATTTTGGGACTCTTCTGCAGTACTCACTTGCCAGGGTTCGGTCACAAGACCTTACGGTTACGAGGTGAGCTCGTAGACCACCCAACCACTGTGATCCCCCTAGACGATAGAAATCAATAATCAAAAACTTTCTAACATCACAAAAACCATTTACAATGACACCGATTCGTTCAGTCTTTATCGTCCTAAAAAATCTTGTTGCCATTCAGTAGTCTTAATTCATTTACTTTGTGTCTTGTGACACTCATGTTTCAAACAAATTCTTTTCTAATTGTGAAACACTGTAATGTTACATTCATTTTTTTCACTGCTTTCTATTTCGAGTTGAACAGATAGATCCAAGCAGTTGAGGCTCCAAGAGCTGTGTTTTTACAGGGTGGGCAGATGCTGGCAATACGCTCATCCTACTGTCTTTTCCAAGCTTACCATCGACGAGGCAAGGTTTAGGAGTCCGTCGATCGGTAATCGAACTTGGACCCTCCGCTTAGTTGTCAAAATCCACCGGACCATTGAAACATATCGATGCACGCGCTATATTCAATAGCTGACTAAGAAATATTGACAAAAACTATTCAACTAACTACACGTTCATTCTTATCCCAATCTTAAACTGACAAACAAAAAAGAGAAATGTGAGCAGAAACGAAGCAAAACGACAGTAAAAAATAAACAACTAAAATACAAGACGAAAATATAAGGCAAAACTATAACTATAATGCTTAATGACAGAGATTAACGAAATTACAGATTTCTGGCAGGATTGTCGAAACTATTAAGAGCAATGGATGAATTTGGATTAAAGCACATTTATCTATACTGTATTTATTATTCGCCATATCGCTAAATATCACTTTACCATATCTGTTATTCTTGTGTGTGCTGTGAAAAACCACTGACAGTATTGATTACATTACCCTTACCTTTATTGATTGTTTTTTCTCGACAGTGCTGATACGAATTATGCTAAAGCGAACTGATATACTAATTCTTAATTTTAACATTATTAGTATTATTATATTCAAGTTGGGATGTTTAAGATTTCGACAGAAGAGTAAACAACTTCGAAAACAATAAACAGATTTGTAATACTGATTGAAAAGTTCAGCACTTCATACGTGTCACACTGTAGTTTTTTTTCTTCTAAAAATTATCAATCAGTCTGAATATGTTAATTCGAAATGTATCAAGGAGAGGAGCATAGTTTATTGTAGAAAGTTGGGAAACCGCATACACTAAGCAACTGAGTTTCAAGGTACGACCTTGCGAACAGAAGTGTACCAGTTCAAGGTACCACACGTCATATAGAACACAAAAGTAGACAAAATGAGCAGAAACGTACTGGAGAGAAAAAGCAGTAAAGTGGAAAAATATGAGGACTTGAAGAAATTAGAAGATTACAAAGGATGAATGCATCTGCGCCTTTGAGAACAATTTTCAACCATATCATCAATAGTTTTCAGTCATTGATTCTTAGCAGCCCGAGGATCCAACTAAGCAGTCTACACCTCTCTGCATGGCTGAAACCAGCAATCAAATACTTCATGGATCGATGCCACATTTACGGCTAAGTGCAACCGAGAAAGACAAACTATCCCCCTCTCCAGGCAACTCACATACAGTAGGTGTAGTGGATAAATGTGACCCAACTGACAAAACACCCTTTAATTATAGACACAGTGTTTACAATTACAGTCTTTACATCTGGTTTAACGGATAGTTATTTACTCTAGCTTATTAGTAAGCCATAAAATGTCCTTTTTTATTGATCGGCAAGATTAATATACATTTGTCTGGTAGTTTTGTAAATCAATGGTGACCGATTTCACGTTCAAATGAGGACATTACTACCACTACTATTCACACTAACACACATTAGTCTTAAGTCATACATGCATACAAATTAAAACTAGCATGTAGAAAAAGTAACAAGTAAAGATTAAAAGAAGGCATCTCACTTTTAATTGACTGGAAACAGGAGGAAAGAAAGCGTACAGGAAACTTTTGCAGTCTACCAAATTGTGAAATAACAGTAAGAACCTGGAAAAGTAAAGACTAGACAGTATATTTTCTATTCCTTCTTTGTAGACACACAATGATTTATCAACGTTGAATATATCGATCAATAATTAGCAAGATATTATAACGCTGCTATATGATCAAGGGTGAGTAGACTTCGATCTTCCTCACGAAATGCTATCATGTGACCACCGGTTCATAGCCACCATTACTTTCAAGTGGTGGGGGTTTTTCTAACTTAAGTGAAAGGGTGAATACGAACTCTTGGCGTTTACAACTGGATTGGTGGACAAGCTGATCTACTTAGGGGAGCTGGAAAATTCTAATTCCAGAACTATCAGCTCAAGAAATCCCAATGAATGAATGAATGACGTATTAAACAGTTGTGGACACCGGTAACCATGGGAAGTAGGTCCTGACATTGCTGCACTTCCTTGTGGATCAGACTTCAAGTCAAAGACTCAAAGTGTACCTCATCAGGACAATCACCTGCTTCCATCTGGGTATTCAGGACGTATCCCAGCCCTTGCACAAACTATGAGATTTCGTGTGGTGCACCTCTTGATACTCATAATGTACTAAAATAAGACATTATACCATACCAAGATAGGTTTCTTATTTAGGTAAAATCAAAACACGAAAAATTATTGAAGTATAGAGATTTGTGATAAGGTTATAAAAGATGAATGACATGTAAAGATCAGCAGAGAAGGGACTTTGAGACAGAATCTTAAGTGAGACAGGCTAGTCAGTCATGGAAATTAAAAGCTAACATTGAATGAGACCACTGTGTGCATGTTTAGAAAAGGTTTAACACAACTCCCTACCTTAGTTAAATTAAACTTAAGGTGGAATACACACATAACGCAACTACCAGCCAATGTCATTGGCAAGTAATCTTCCTTTTACCTGACTTGGTGGACGGCACTGGTCATGACCTCTTTCACTAGGAATTCCAGGTTACTTCCTGAATATAGCCAATCGATAGTGAGTGGGGTCCACTACATCAGGTGAGAAGACGGTTACTTGTTGATAACATTGGCTAGTGATTGCGCTTTGCAGATCGCGAAATCATAGGGGTTGGAATTCATGAGCCATTGGATCGGGTTCCAGTGACTGGACAGTCTACGAGTACCCCTCGTAATCAGAAAGTTCAAGGTTCAGACTATATGGTGGGTGCTTACGAGCCCCAAACTAGGGAGGCACAGATGCCCCCAACTCAATGCTATAATTGAGAATAAAGCATAATACCTAACAGTAAGTCATGTAGAGAAAGAAATTATGGGGGAAGTAACTCACTTCTGTGATTGAAAAGTAATATAATAAAATACAAATGTTAAACACACGCACACAACTGAATTAAAACAAAACACAAAGTGCATAAAATGACATAACATCTATTTCATTGAGATCGTTTTTCTTTTATAAAAATGCAGTAGAAATGCCAACAATTTTAAGCATACATGAATGAAATCTGAATGGCAATGAATGTAAATGAATAATGCGGCGAAAATTCATTTAAAACAAATCTGTTGTTTATATATATTTTGTACAAAATTGAGAAATATGATGAGAGAGGTGTTGTAGTCTCCGAAAAAGAAGAAGAAAAAAGTAGTAATAACAATAAATGATAACACCGAGGACAGTAATAAGAACAAAAACAGAAATGAAAGACTGAATGAATTCAATCTTTTCCACGACCACGTCCCCTACCACGACCTCGACCACGTCCTTTACCAGCAGCATCAGAAGATGAAGCACGGTCTTCTTGTGGTTTGGATTTTTCTGTGTTTGTGCGTTTTTTCGGTTCCGTCTTTTTAACCTGATAAGACATAAAAGAAAATGTTTTAGATGAGTAATCCTTCAAAATGATAGTTCAAATGCTATTTTTAATACTTCATTGACAGCTTAGAAGATAACTGTTACAATTCGTGAGTCAGTGGCTCGGTGGTAAAATGCTCGCCAACCATGCACGTGGTCTAGGGTTCGATTCTCACTTGAGACACTCGTAAACCCACCCAAGGAATTTACTAGCCGAAGGTAATCCTGGAAAATTGGGAAGGTTAGGCGTCAAGCCAGCAACCCCAATCCGTGAAAACAACACCAGTGCAACTGAAACTTCAAAGAATAAAGTTTGAAGAAGCTTTATGCTCAACTCGGAATACAGAGAGACGACCAAAATAGAAATAATAGTCTTTGATCTTCCTAAACTTCGTTTCCATGAGTTCAAATGATGACCACAGAACCCTCTGCAGTCTTCTCCTTAGATGTTTAAGTAGACTGTCTAGTTTTACATAGAGATTCAAACCAAAAGCAAACCATGAAATGATTTATAACATACTGAGATCATAGCATCATTCTTCAAGTCAACTGCATCTTCTTCTTCCTCTTCACCATCATCGAACAAAGCAGAGTCATCTTCATCCTCTAAACCTGCAGGAACAGCAGCACCACCACCACGTTTACGTTTGAAAGAACCACCAGTTGAGATGACATATGGCAATAAATGAGATGATTTGTTATATGTACGCGTCAATGCTGCTTTAACCTAAAACAAGACGAAATAGGCAACAAGAAATGAAAGATAATTCACAAATATATAAATAAAATGTACAAAAATCTTTTGTTATTCAAAAAATACAACCAAAATACATTTAAGCGTAATTAGACTCAATGACCAATCATAACAAAGTAACAATCATAACCTCCAAAGAAACTCTTGTCCTTAAATCTGCAGTTTCAGGGAGATATAACAGCATAACACCTAAATAATACCATTAAAAAAGACGTCGATAGAGCAGAGTTGTGCTGTCACTTCACAATCAAGTCAATTTTACAATGGAGAAATATGCATAAACTACCTAATTTCACGGTCCCTGTGTACAGCTAGTTAAACAGAGTGTACAATTTAGGCATGTTAATTCGTCGTATTATAACATAACATATACCTGCATGGTTAAGCTAGGGACAAATACGTAGCTCTATTCTAGCCTACCTTGTAAATATAGATTGTAGAATTAACGCTAATAAAGCATTTAGAGTTATCTAGCATAATTCCCACTGAGCTGAATTTTGCTTCTTATATACAACAGAAACCACCGGAATATACTTGAACCTGTTTTCAAAAGAAATTAGTAGAGTCACTTTCCCTAAATTGGCCAATTTTTACATGAATATAAAGTTGGTTGTTTCCACCTTCCCCTTATGCCATTTATAAGTTGTTATTATTTCATCTATCGTACTGTAAGGCCTGCTTCAATTTTAATCCTCATCATACAATTGATTTTAGTAATTTGATCACTCATCTGCTCTTCTTCTTATCTTTTTCAACATATGCAAAATGTATTACGTAACCACTTGTTATATTTTCACAAATATTTCTACCCTTTAATTGTTGCACTAATTTCCTTTGTTAATTATAAAACACAAAAACGCCTTCCAACTTGTGGATATTCACTAACTATTGTTAACAAACTCATTACCACTAGATAAGTTTATTTCACATATCATACAGTGATGCAGTATTAATAAATGGATGACGTTTCGAGCATAAATTATTGCTCATAATCATATGAATGTCTTCCATAATATAAATAATATAAGAACTCAAAGTCTCTGTAGTACTATCATATGAAGAAGAAACATCAGGAGCCCTACGTAAGATTCTTAATAAGGCTGGAAACTTTGTCGGCTTAAGGACCCAATAGATCCAATTAAGAAAAATAATATAATCTACCAAATAACATGTTATATGACTGTGAGGTCAACTTATACAGGTCAAACTAGTAGATCGGGGTCAATTAGATTATCGGAACATAGAAATTTAACTAGACCTTGAATGGTTGACCCTGCTAAGTTGAATCAATAACCTCGAATTGTATGCGATCACACAATAAGATGGGAAAGGGTGAGAGCATTAAAAATTAATATAGGGAAAAGGAAAGAGAGTTTAACCACTGAATGTTTTGTTTATTGATGCAACAACACACACACACATGAAATCGAAAGGACACAACGCCCATACCCGAGACATGGAAAGTGGCCACAAACAACAAGGGAAAGAGAGGAAAATATATATAATACAGTTAGCATTATAACTAAAATAAGATAAAAACAAATTAAGATAATATTTCCAATCATCCGGTGCCACCGGGAGAGACAGCAATTTCAGGTTGAGGGCAAGGGATTGGACAAACAAATATATGTAAGACAAACTATGAAGCTGTGTGAATATTTATCATAAATACAAGAATGTACAGCCTAGTTGATGACTTCGTCGAAAAGAAAATTTTCTTCGCCGCAACCATCTTTTTAATAATTCCTATGATATAATTTGTGCTCGAAACGTCATCCAGGTATTAATAATGCATCATCACTGTGTGATATTTGAAATACACTTATCTAATATGGAATTACATTCTACGACAGTGCCCAGGTTCTACACTTACATTTATGATTATATCACCATTAGATTGGTGAATTCTGTATTGTATTAAAATTGCTTTACATTTTACGTGAACGCATAGACATCAGCATAGAAGTCAATTATGATGCAAGAATGAATATAGATGTAAAAATGGGTGACTAAATAAAATAACTCAGGACCAATAAGTAACATTCAAAAAGCTACTCCCCAGATATACTGTGATCATATCAATTCATTATCTGCTTGAGTATTCAGACATTATTTACTACTTTTAACATCAATGCGATGAACTGACATCATCACACTTATACAAAAAGGAAGATAAAAGTATCATCACTAACAGTCCACCGCCTCGAATCAATGTTCAATGACAGTCTAAGTTATATATCACATCAAATTTATACATTATATAGAAAGAGTAGGGAAGATAATAATGTGAAAGTACAAGATAGTTAATTGGAAAAAGAGACAAAATAATTGTGAAGAGGAGAGGAAATAGCGAATAAGTGAATGAGATATGAAAATAATTATCGGTGTAGAAAGCATATCCGATTCGACCACTTCTTCTTCAGGTTCTACAACTGTGTATTATTTAAAGAGTATTTGTCGTTGATTACATTTTGCTTTTCATTCTATTTGCTTTCTGAGTGGAACAGACGACTTCAAGCTTGTGCTTTCGAGTTTATTTGCTACGTGATGCGGTTGTTAGCCTCACGCTCAACCTTCCCTCTTTACCAGGCTTACTACCGGTTCAAGAATACGTCACCCGGGAATCGAGCTTGAACGCGCACATTGAAAACAATAATGTTTTCTTAATGTTGACATATAAATGTAGAAACTCAAAAACAAGTTATCGAAAGGAATATTTTTCGTTCACTCATGAGTGTTTTAGAACTATAAACATATATTTTTTAAACACGTTAAATGAGATGTATTAGTAAGTCGATGGTTCAGTGGTAGAATACTCACCACACATACGGGAGGTCCGGATTTCCATTGCCGACTGACATACTCTTTAACCACACCTAGTTCACTAACCAGCAAAAAGCCTGGAAAAGATGGAAGATTGGGTATGAGGTGGACAAACCCCACAAGAAAAAACCCACCCCTACTGAAATTTCAAAGTTCGAAGCCTTCTGTTGCACTCGGAACTCGAAATGATGGCAAAATATGTTAATTAAGATAAAGATGTGTGCGTAGAGTTGTGAACAATTTTAAGTGACATCAATTACCACCTTTAACAATAGTTAACGGTAGTTTCAAAGACTACAGCTGACTAACCTACATTTCATAACAGTGTCCAGAACGATAGCCCCTAGTTTCGTGCATCAGTCTCGTATCTTCGTTTATCCAGCCTCCACTTTGCAACACACTGGTATTTTTTACTAATGAGGATGAGTAAAACTCATCTCGCCAACGTAAAGGTGACAAAGATAATGAAAGATGACAAAAATTACAGCAGCCACATCATTCATGCCAAAATTTTGATGAGTACTCAACTTCTATGCTAGGAAAATATGATATCGACGTAGATGAATTTTGGGACAAAAATACTACTTTTGTGGGATGAAAAACATTCATAATGCCTCTATAAGTATGACACACGTCAACATTGCCACTCGACACAGATAGCAAGATATACAGACTCGATAGGGGAATTATGCTTTCACCACATGTAAATAAATCTACCAATAACAGAACTTTTTAGAATTATAGCTCCAATGGTCGTGTCTAACATCCGTGAAGTAGAATGAAACAGTAATATTGCACTGTGCATTTACTTTTTGATGAGAATTAAGACGTCTTAAGGCCTCAAAGATTACAGAAGTTGTCAAACACTAGGCAGACCTTTTTTGCATACATCATTGGGAATTTATCCACGACTGCTCTGGAATACAGACACGCTAACTAGACCGTTGAGTGATATTGCGCGCCAGGCTAGCCATGCAGTAGTAGAATCCAAATGGGAAACAAGGAGTTGGGTGTCAGAGGTTAGCATGAAAGGGGTCGTGTGAGGAGGAGATAAGAACTTATGAATAATTGTGGAGTTAGCTAAAGACGACTAGAGAAAACAGGATGAAATGGAATTGTTTTGCAGCAGCCCTTTTTCAACCGGAATCTACGAGGATAATAATAATAATGTCTAAGTGTTCGACCACATCAATATTTATCTTTGAACCACTCTTTTTTGGATTAAGAAATACTTGAAAGTTTGAAGAAAAGTTAATAACAGCCGCTTACTTTTGAATCGATATTCTGCATTCGATTTGGTTGATTTGGCCATGTAGTTAACTCCATTATATTGTCAACATCTTCCCTGACCATTTGATATTTAACCAATAGTTCCATAGCACTATCAACATCACCTTATAGGCAAACAGAAAAGGATAAACAAGAAGCGACTGTTACCACTAAATATACGCACTTCTGAACAATAAATGAATTGTTTCTGACTTGTACAAACGAAAACCAAATGAATTACAGTTGGTAATGAACCGTACATATATTATATGAGTGTGTATGTGTAAGGGCCAGTGATGCTGCCTGGTTGCCCAAAAACTTCGATGGGTGTAGCGAGTTTACAACCTGTGACTCTGATTGAAAGTCAAGTGTCTAGACCAGTGGAGTTCCATAGAACAAAACCTAATGAGCAATGTTTAAGCTAACATTGAATGCAAAAAAACACAAAAACAGATGGAAATGTCCAAACCAATTCAAGTTCCAAAAGAAAAACCAAAAGTAAAGAAAAGTCAGCCATAGTACAGAATCAACACTGACTGCACTCAACGAAGTTAATTCCAATTTAAATAGTTCACTGATAATCTAACTAAGATGCTCACTACAATCACCTACATGAAGTCACTTCTTAAGACTGTAGTTAATGTTTGATAATCAGTTAGAAAAGATGATCGTCACACAGTTATCACTTTAGAGAAACTATCCACTAGAATCATACAATGTTAATATAGAGATATATTACTCAGTAGACAGAGATGTCTATTGTGAGTGGTTTCCATAAAATTGCACTTGTGTGAATCACACTGACGAATTTCATTCCTTGTAATACACTGGAGTTCACCATCAGGGTATCGATCAACTGCCTATGCTTTAGGATGTTGATTGACTGATTAGAAGGCATTGAAGACAGTCTAAAAAATTTATTTGAAACAGAACAGAAGAGAATCAGGATTTCATCATGAGCTGAAATCGGGTAGAGAAAACTGGGGCGTACTGGACAGCTGTTTCGTCCTGGTTTGGGACCCTTCATCAGTGCGCACCTACCGGAGTTCGAACCCAGGACCTTCTAGTTACAAGGCGAGCTTGTAGACCACTAAGCCACTGGGACTCGATCCAATGGCCCATGAATTCTAACTTCTGCCAATTCACGACATAGCGCGACCACTAGCCAATGTCTTCGGCGAGTATTTGTCCTCATAGCCGACCTGCTGTAGAAGAATAATGGATAAGTAACCAACACAACCCTTGATAATATAATCAGATAAGGATCACCCAAATAAGGGATTGAGAGTAAAAACAAATTGTAGGACAGGCATCCGTGAGACTTACTATCCAGCCCGAAAAAACCAAAAACATGTTCTACAACAAGCCTCAACATTGCACACGTAATTACGTCACACCTTAACTAACACAGGCGTGTGGACACCCACACATAGGTGGAAGTAATCACACCTTACATGCAATATGACGGTGGGATAACATATACCTAAATGACTTGAAATACGCCTGAACAGTAAAACCTCGATATAAGTGTGGGTAGCGGACTACCAATCTCGTCTATAGTAAAACACAATTGATGTCAATAATAAGATTGATATATCAGAACAGCTTTCAAGATTAGCTATAAAATCGACAGGGATGCATACTGAAATACACTGAGGAGATAGTCAGCAGTGAAACTAAGCCCCCACCTCCAACCTGTGTGCACAAAAACAACTCATTATTACTCTTAATCTACCATGGTAATCCTTTTCTGATAAGATTACCAACAGTAGTGTTAATTATTATCCTTCTTAATCTTAAACCCCTTATCATTTCGTTTATTTTAGCTGGCCTTTCATTTTTCATATAAACTGGTTTGACAAGTCAGCGTGTGCGCAAATGTATCACGTTTTTCAAATAAACTTTATCTTCTTCCAACAAACGCCATCCAAATTTAAAAAAGGTGTAAACTATTTTAAACTTTTAGTATCATTAAAATCTTAAAATCAAATCTAATGACCTCGTCTCCAGTTCTTACCTTCTTTCAATGGACGAGTAATAAACTCTGAAACTGGTGTAGCATAATCCAATAATAAAGTCAATGGATTCGATGAACCACAATGAGTAGCCAAGCGTAAGTGTGAAGCTAATTCTGAAGTTGTACGATGAATTCGATTCTGTGTACTATTTTTTCCAAACCATGAAGGGAATGAAACACCACCAGGACCACCGGGTAAAGAACCACGTAGAGTACGACCAGGTGAAAGTACACTGAAAATACCTTGTATAGGCAATAATGACCATGAACCTGTTCGTGAAGATCTTATAGTAGATGAGATTATATCTCCCATAGCAATATCCAATGAAGCTTTGGACATTAGATCAAGTACTTTTTTATCATCTCTAAAAAGAAGATAAACAAGACAGATAGAAAACTTAACGTTAATTATTATGATTAGTATCATTAGTAGTAAAAGTTGTATGTGGCGGATGTGAAAAATATTCAATATGATGATCATTCCTTGAATGACAGCATCTTATAGATAAATAAATTTGGATGGTAACATCCACTAGACGTCTTATATGTAGAGACTGGCAGAAGATT